ACGCTGGGCGGCTTCACCTTGGTTCAGTATCACAAACAGGAGAGGTGCAGAACATGAAAAGACTTCTTGAGTATCTCAACATCAGCTCAGCTAAATAACAGCTGCCAATATAAGTTACCATATGTGAAAAATCACGTGCTACGTTTCTGGGAATCTGAGGGGAGAAAACATCCTGAATGCATTGATTTAGCTTGAAGAGTCCAGGCAGAGAGCAGTGCAGGGAATGGGCCACAATGTGTCCCAGTTTTAATTCAGAGCTCATGTAGATGGTGTTACAGAACTGCCCTTGGAAGGATATTCTGATTTAATTCACCGCTGTGTTCGTTAGCGGTACCAATGCTCTAAGGGCTTACTATGAGCTTTCATCTGTTTTTAGAGTTGCTAGCACACTAACGCACAAGTTTCTATTTATGCTGTGTTCAGTATCTTATACTGAAGTTTTTCAGCTGTCAGTGTGAGAAATGTTTAAATTGACAGGCGTTAAGGCAAAACAAGACTTTTTCCTATGAGTATGTGTAAAAATAATTTCTTCTTTTGTCTGTTGTCTTCTACACTCTAAACGCCTTTTCTTCATTCATATTCACTTGTAACTACATTGAAGAGTGCAAAAATCAATCACTTCTTGAGAAATACAAAACTACAGCCCTAGTGCTTCTGATTGTACACCAGTTCTGTGGTCCTTGTGTAGAGTGGCTGATGTCTTAGTCACACTGCAGCACTTCCGTACATATTCTGAATTTTGTTTTTTGCTCCTGTGCATTTACACAGCTCTGTTCAGTGCTGTCTTCTTGTGGGCTCACTGGAAGCGTCACAAAGGTCTGGAAGGAGCAGTTCACCGTGCAGCTGCACATCATGATGATTTAGAGGACATCAGAGAAAATATCCTCAACTACAATGAAGAAGGGGGTGGGGAACAAGACCAAGTAAGGATTGCTGTGCTACATTACTGTTAAAAGGGGACTGAGGCTCACCATGATAATGAAAATGTGTATTAGGCTTTTCTTTACAGCTGAGGACCTTACCCTTTGTTCTGCAGTTTTATTAATGCAACTGATAAATCAGTTATTTGCAAGGTCTTGCACGCAAGGGTTCATGTTTTGTAAGTAGATAAGTGCCTATCAATTTTTAATTTGTCTCCAAGCAAGTGATCCTATGTGCATCCTTTATGTTCTGGTAGTGTGAATTTAGCAGTAAAGAGCCAAGAGCTGCTATCTGCTTTCATGGCTCTGGAGGTGCTGTACTCTGCTGAGTACTGCTGTAGCACCATGGGCTTGAAAGAGCCTAATGTGGACTATTCTGTATAGACCGTTTCTTCTTGAAGTCTGGAGATAGCATTTTTTCTGCTATTCCAAATGCTATCCTTGTTTTCTCAAAGATCTCTCAGTGCAGGCTTTACTTGTTAATAAATTCTTCTTTCTGTCCTCTAAAACATGAAAAGTTGGAACACTAGAGAATGCTAATGTAATGTGAATGGTTTCTCACTCCAGGATGCATACAACATGGCAGAACTGCAGGTGTCTATTCAAACCAGCCCAGCCTATTCCCTCTACAAGAAGAAAGTAAAAACAGCAAAACTGAACAGCTTCTTTAGTGCTGCATCTCCAAGCATGCAGGCGCAGACCAGAACATCGGTGACTATGCAATCATCTTTTACAAGCAGAGCCTTTGGTCAGTACTTGTCAGATGTTGTTCGAGATGCTGACCACAGTCCCCAGGCTGTTCCACATGACTCACTGCAGGTGTTTCACACCGAAGGAGAAGGCTCAGTCGCTAGTGGTCTCAGTACCTTGAGCTCTTCTGAGCCAGATGAGGCTATAGTGTATGACAACATTAAAGAATGGGGACCAAAGTTTGAGAAATTAAGTGAACTCTACTCACATACAGATGCAGGAGATCGGTAGATACCAGCTGTACTATTTTCAAAGTGTTTGAAAGGGAGTGTGAAGGACAGCTTTTCATGCTCTTGCTCCTTACTTTCAGTGATTATGTACCAATGCCCTTCGTCCTTTTATTTTTTATTTTCAACACAACCTTCCCACTAATGGGCACCAATTTGCACTTAAGCTCCTACTATTACATATTTTCTTTATATTGGGACATTCTGAACGTTTACTTTTGGGGATAAAAACTAAAGGAAAGAAAGCATAAAGCAATGAGGTACTTAAAATGAAGTAATTCAGTGGTTTTGCTTGCAGTTGCATCAGTAGCTTGTTTGGGGAGGTCTGGCTTTTTATTTTATGGGCTAGATTAACTTGCAAATTTTCAAATGATAAATGTTCATGCAGAATTTTGTTCTTGCACATGTTTATGAGACAGTTTCAACTAATGGTTACGCACATTTTAGATAACGTGGCATTTTTTCTGGAAAAGGTAAAGGCTATTTTTACCCATGCCTAGTAATTTTGATTCACAGATGGCACATAAGTTATATTATTGTTTTCCTGATACATCTACCTGTGAGGAAACGTTAGCTAATGTCTTGTAATGGTCGCAAGTCAGTTATGTCAGATTCCATAGTTCATTACCAGAGCAGTCATAAACAGTGAATGAAAAATGAAATAAATAGAAGCTATGCAAAAAAAAAAAACAACAAAACAACAACAACAAAAAAAAAACCAAAACACAAACATAAACAAAAAAACACCCAAACAACAAAAAACTATCCCTTCCTAAAGCAGCATTAATTGTATCTGCACACCCTGTGTTCTTGCCACAGCTATGGATATACTGTCATGTTGGTTGCTTTTAATTTAATTTAGCTTGTAAGCTCTTTAGGGCAAGCAATGTCTTTTTATTTGCCTGTGAAGTATCGTGCATACCTAAAGCACCATATAAATAATAAATAAGCTTTCTGAATATGATGTCTCTTCCTTGCATATGTTTAAGGTCGACTAAAGTTTGGACTCCTGTTGAATTATTCCTCGCTCAGCTTTGATCAGCCACTTCCACAGACACATTCATGGACCCTGTTCTGGCTGAGAAGGAGCTGAGGGAAGCAGCCTGGCTGACGTGGACTCAAGCTCTGGGTATACACTTCAGACATTACATCTAAGTTTTCCATACACACTGCTCCAAGCTGATGGGGGCAACAGGCCAGCATTATTCTCAGAAACAAAGACTTTTTGCAATTATTCTAAGAAGAAAATTATTAACTTAACGGGCAATAGTTATTCATGTTGTACTCTTCACAGGCCTCATTCTACATTCAACTCTCAGGCTGGGATTCAGCAGCTGAGATGCAGACACAGTGTGCCCTGTCACTCTGAGCCTAACATTCACCATGTGAACAGGACATGGACTTGTACAAAAGGCAGATGGCAACAGATTGTCAGGTGTATTAGGCAGGACAAATGACAACAAATCCAATACGTCTCAAAACCCTCCAGTCACTTTCTTTTCTCTTATTCCATATCCTGGAGTCTTAATTCATTCTCACATGAATGCCAAGCTGAGATTGTAAACAAAATGCCATGAACACTAAATTCATTGCAGTTAAGCAAATTCCTGAGCTTCTCAGAAAAATTATAAACACGCTCACCTTCCCAAGAAAGTGCCCAAATAATCTGACTACAGGATATAGTGATAAGGAGAGCTCAGTCCCATTGAAGCTCTTAGACATCTGTGAAGTACTTAAATGGTCATTGGGTGGGAGTAAAAGCAAGCCAGACTAGAACTTTGTAGCTTGGTCACTTGTAGCTACATGGGCAGCTAGGTTGCATTGTCACAGCTGTAGAGTTGCTCAGGTTGAAAAGTCTCTCATTTCCATTCCCAAAGAGGCAATTTGGAAGCCGAACTGAGGTTGCTGCTCTACTACTGCTATCCCAATTCCAGCTATGGTACTGATTTGTAAATAAACAAATAAAATAAACACTCAGAGTTAATCTGTTTGGAACTGCAGTTTCACAAAGGTTTTTACAGAATAAAACAAAAAGGTCAGAAAAATATATTTCAAGTGCTACATGAACTCATGTATATAGAATCTCAGCATGTACTCATTTGCAGCTGTCATGCTCTATTAAAGACCTGCTTTCCTTGTTTCTAGAGATTGCTAATTAGTTCAGTTAATTTATGTCTTAATTTGCATGTTGTTCTTTTAACTACCGTGCAGTTTTTGAAAGCACTTGTTCCACACATATAAGACACAAGAATTTCAGTTCCTCTACAAAAACCCTTATCACAGTACAGCAGAAACATCTCTGCAGAACAAGGGACAGCTGGTCTGCCAACAGGAAGCTTTGCAATGAGTGAGGGGGAGAAAAAAATTTAAATAAACATCACTAGGTCCCTAGGTAGTTGGATTTTCAGTAATCTGGTACTTCTATTAATCTTCTTCCACATTCTTTACAGAATATAACATGTAAAGAACGTTTTATTTAGTATATTTGTAAAGGTCTGAAATTTAAATAATCATGTGGATATTAGTATTTAATCTGCCTGCCCACTGCATTAATCTTTGTGTTTTTCCCCTTTTAACATAACATTCCAAGTATGTAACATGTAGCCAAGCCATATGACAGCTGATTGTCCTTAGTCTGACCTACTGGCTCACATGCTTAGAAGAAAAACCGCAGCTGTGAAAGAAGCAGGGTTAGGAGAGGAGGAACAAGCTGAGCAATTACTTACTGAAATGACAAAAAATAAAATAAAAATAAAAATAAAATAGCCATGACCATTTCCTGGGGACTTGAATAGTGTGCACCTTCTTGTTGAGTGCTGTTGATGAATAAAGATGTTTTGAGAAACCCGCTTCTCTGGAACATGGAATCCTATTTACACAAGCACAACACGTTATGATTACATTCCATTAATTAAATTAATTGTACTTAACATTGGAGACAAAACTCTCAAAAAACTCCTTCTAAGAGTACTACTATGCATGTGAAGATGCCTGAGAAAAGTAGAAACTTATGAAAATTCTTTTCTTCCCTTAGTAGAGATTGAAATAAAAATAACAGCAACTTTCTCAGTCCATCCCACCATAAAAACCAAAATGTCCGATCTTCAAATTACACAATTTATTTAGTACACACATTCCTTTACAACATATAAAATAACTATATGTTAGATCACACCAACAGAACTTTGAAACACAAAATGAAAATATACTTACAGACCTAAGGGCTTTTCTCCCCTAAAAACATCCTGGCTACATGATAACATTTTGTCTCTGTGATTTAAAATAGGTTATTCAGTGCCTACCATTCCAGTGATAGTGCACAGCTTAGCAGTCCCTCCTAACAGAAGGTAATGCAGACAAGAAATGATGGTGTCATTCACATAGCCAATTATTTGTAAGATTTTTGTAAGCACAGTGCATTCTTGGGTGTGCATCGTCTTTAATATGATGAAACAACAATACCACAACAGCCACTTGGAAAAAAGGTGCATAAGGATAACGTGGTTCAGGAACAGATGAAGTCATACAACAAAAAAAATAAAATAAAAAAATTGCACATTTAAATGCAGTATTTCATAGTAAGACTCAAGAAGTGGAAGCAATCAGCCAGACAAACATGCCTCCTGGAGGTCTTCAGTACTTACGCCCAGCCTCCAGGAATACAAAATGTAGCCCTTTGTATCACCTGTGTCCCAGCCCAAAGCCTTGACCAACAGCCTCCCTAGCATGCCTTGCTGCTGGCGAGCCTTTCAAGTTGACCAGGAGAGCAGCTGCTTGCTGCTTCTGAGAGCTGTGCTGATGAGCGTGCCTTTCCTTGGAACTGGTAGGTGCTTTTGTTTCTTGGCATTTTCTACACTGCTGTTGTAAGATTGGTCTTCTAACTGCTTTACTATGTGGTTATTTAAGTGTGCACTTCCATCTTCTCTTACATGATTCAGGTACAGAAACTGTTGGAGTTTGCTAAATGCAAAAATTCTCAAAAATGTTTGGTATCCATCTAATGCTTCACGTTCTTTTGCGCTAATTTAGGGGGACGTTTGTATTAGGAGCAGAAGTCGTGTTACTGTGGTAGCTCTGCATCAGGGAAGATATGGGTTTCATGCCTGGCTTTTGCTTTTTACATTTTTTAAAAACAAAACCACTTGGTATTTTCTACAAAAAGGTTAAATTTCTTCTTTAGCTAAATTAGATGCTGTGCTATTGAAGAAAGGGAATCTATTTAAAAATACTTATTGTTATAGTCTGGACTTCCTAGTTTCAGCTGTTAGCAACAAATAAATTGTGAGAATCCTGAGGTACCACAGGAGCTTCAAATCTCTCGTTTCAATCAGGAGAAAGTTATGCACCTTTAAAGAAAGGTACAACCACATTTTTAAAATAAGACAGTTCAGTCTGGATATATTTTACCTTACATGTGCTTGTTTTCAATTACTGTAAGGCACTCACTGAGGAATTCACTGACCCATGCTTTCAGCAAGAACAGGCATGCATCATTACAGGCCTAATTAAAGTTTTAATACTGATTAAAATGTTTTATTATTGTATTATGTTAATCTGCAGTGGTCTCCAACCTCATTAAGGGATACAGAACAGAAATTATTCAGGAGTTTCAGTTGCTCGGTTTAACAACCTAGCCACTGTCAATGTTTGATTTAAATACAGTCTGATTAAAGTATGCTTTCCTTTTGTGTCAGCATGGAAGTACAGAGAGATGTTCAACATTGTTTAATGAGTATTTACTGAATATAAAACTGTTTGAGCATGTGACAGAACTATCTCCATCTCTGCAGTAATTTACCTTTGTACAACTGAAAAGGAAAAACATTTAAATCATTTGGAATTGGAACACAACTCAGTTGTGAAAGCTAATCTCATTACACATCTTGATTAAATTAAGTGGAGTTTGCTATCAGTAGCACTTTAAGTTTCCCATCATTAGAAATTAATTGCATTGGTAATTATTATAACAGAGTTATTTGCACAGGCCACAAACACTCTTATAGGTGTTCAAATGTTAATTCAACATTGGCCTAGAGGCACTTGATTATTACAATTCTGTTTTTCGTAAGAAATAAATGATCCTAGTGGATATCTAATTAAAGTTGGAGAGTACTGTTACACTTCCAATTAGACTTAATCTCTAATTTCAATATAAAACCAAAGCAGTGCTAAAACACAGTAAAAGTGACACATCATCTACATAGCATTTAAAAAGTCAATACAGTCTGCAAATTTCTTGTCTGGTAAAAAGACAAAGGCTACAAACAAATCACAAAATCTCAGGATTGAGGACTGCCTTCATTTCATCTTCCAAATATATTTTAAGTAACTGTAGTCTGTCTCTTAGCCTAGAGGGCATTGATACGGTGATTTTTTTCAACAAAATTGACAGCTTTGCATCTGGAATAAAGTAAATCAAAGCTGTAATGCCAGAAAGTTCCTGTCAATTTTAGGGGTTAATTTTTTTTGTGAAGTTGGCACTGTTCAATTTTGGTACCCTACTTCTGGAACTCGTGTGGGGGGAAATAGATCCTTTGTAGTTCAGAGAGCAAATAGAGAAAATAAAGCAAGAGTCCTAGCTGAGAAATTTGTTCTTTGTTTGTCCTGAGCATTCAAAAAGGATATTTTACAGGGATACATGCAACATGTATCAAGCATGCTCCGACCTCAATTTTCATCAGAAATACGACACTCCATCATTAAATGCTTCACATTATAAAATAGTGTGTTTCTGTCTCGCTAAAAATGTAGGACAATAATTTCTGCAATCACACTCACAAACTTGGAAACTCATATCCATATACATTCCCAATGAATTCAAAAGAGAGGCACTGAAAGAGCATATGAGACCTGTCGGAATAGATCAGATTTGTAAGATTAAACTGTTTTTTCTTTTTTCTTTTTATAACATTTTAAAGACTCACGTAGATAATACATCTTCAGTATAGAATAGCATGACCTGCTTTTGTTGAATTTCTATCATTTTGTAGTAAAAATGCACAGCACTGAGCAGATCTGCATAGGCTGCAGTGGTCATGCAGGCTGCTTGTTTTGTGTGTCTTTAAACTGGTTACAGCTGGAAAACAGTTATATCCTATGTATTCAGCAGGTCAGGTTTTATAATCAAAATGGTCCCAGATAGCATTTATTTATGAATCTATGAAAATTTTGGCAACGTCAAAAAGATTATCAAAACTAAAACTGTCTTTAAAAAAAACCCAAACAAATAAAAAAAAGAACTGCAGTAATTAGCAAGAAACCATCCTGTAAAATGTCTTACAAACGTAAAATGTTTGTAAATTTCAGCATTTTCTTACGTGGGTCCTAGCATTAAAATACTGAACTTGAAGCCATTGTTGGTAATGTTATTTATGCTTAGCAAGTTTGTAAACATGGAATGTTTTGTTCTGAAATACTCTAGTGAAGTGTATAGTATAAGAAGGCAGATTTTTTTTAATTTCCTCACAGAAGCGAGGATACAGCGAAGGCTTCAAATCCGGTTCATTCTCTCCCAAACCATCCATGATCTGTAATGCAATCGAACAGATTTGTGAAATATCTTTAGCCAATTCAGGTATAAGAAATAACAAGAAACTAAAAACAACTTTGACAACACATTCAGAGGGTCGGACTAGTTGGAGTTGTTAACAAACTGTGTTGAATGATAAGATTTGCTGTACCATTGTCTCTACTATGGATAAAAGGTTTACTTGTCAGTGGTAAATACCTGCTTTGAATAACACGGTCTGCTGTGGTTCCATGTCAGTTCTAGAAAAGCTTGAAGATTCCCCTAACAAGATTGTAATACAATTGTCTACTTTCCCCAAGGGAACCAAAGCTGTGAGGTGATTTACCCTGTGAAAACTGTTTGTGTACTGCTAACCTGAAGCTCAGCAGGAAGCTATCGCTTATTTTGTGCAGGCTGCATTTTATCAAATACTGGTAAATGCAAGGAGGGCTCATTAGGGCAATTTTGAGCATGTCCAAAAGCTCCATCAGATTTTACTTCCACACTCATGATGAAGTGGAAATGGTTGAAGCTACTCCAGGTCCTAACAGAACTTCAACAAGAAGCTAAAACATGTTTTCTTTATAAATCTATGTCATACTTACATGACCATTTGCTATATCTAGTAGGTCACGCAACCGACAGCCTCTACTGTGTCTTCTTTCATAACAAATGCTGTCTTCTAGGATCACATAGTCTGTGCTGAAGGATCGCAATATTCTGTAAACATCTTCAGGAGACCTCTTGGCATAGATCTGATAAATCTATAAAAGAAGAAAACAAGTTATAAGATACATGCATGATCATGTATTTGTATGCTCTTTCATGACTCTGTTACCTTGAACCAGAGGAAGAAATGAGATCCATGTGATCTGAATAAGGAATTAAAAAAACAAACAAACAACCCAACACACCCACAATAAACCAAAACTCCACTCTTATTCATTTGCCACTTAACGATATCTTATATTATATTCATATTTACATTATGGATGCTGTGGTAGTAGCACTGCTGCTGACTAAAAACTGAAATATATTTCAACTGTTTTCAGAAAGGCTCTGGTAGATGCCTGTAAAACTTTCAGAACAATTTTTCTGTATTCATATAGATTCTCCTGGGAACTGAAGGGATTACCAAGCAAATGAGGAAGTGTTCTATGTGGGTTTAACAACCCAACTGGGCAGCAGGATCGATTAATGCTAACAACACCCAACACAGTTCACTCAGAATGAGCCTGAGCATCTAGTTCACTTATTCAGACATAGCCAGATACTCAAAGCACTGAGTTTTGTAAATGAGATAAAGCCCAGGAACTGTACCTCACAGTAAGTTAGAGTAATAAGGAAAGCACATGTCACTTGCAGTATGCCATTAGAGGTGGAAGAGTTTTCCTGAATGGAGCCAGTGATACGGATAAACACTAGCTTAAGCAGTTGAAATACTCTTACCTGTTTTGTTCTCTCTCTCAGATGCTTATCCTCATAATGGGGATGATTAGTTAATGTCCGTCCAGTGCACAGTTTGACTCCAGCTAATAGCTGCATGCTTCCAGCAAACACTGCTGTGTTAGGAGTATTTGACCTAAACAAATGTTGATAAGTCTGAGGATATCTCTGTGGGGGCATTTTTGCATCACTTCAGATCAGACAGAAAAAAGATGGAAAAAATATTTCTCTCTCCACTATTCGGGGAGCAAACTGTTCAAGTAACTGTTTTTCTAAATATGAGGCCTTAAATTTCAACATTCCTTTTAATGATGTCCTCCTGAAAGTGTACTTCCGTATTTCATAGATTCAGGGTTCAGACAGACACTCAGTATCTGTAGATTTCCATATCCTAACTATTTAAATACTTCAGGAAACTTACTGCAACTTACATTTTGTATCTAAGTTCTTCTACATAAAACAGTTTATTTGAATGCATAAATTCATTACTGTCTCATTATTTACTTGGGATGAAAATTTTATTCTGTCAGATGTACTGATCTTCCTATTTGGGCAACTGTGGGAAACAAATTATGAAAGGAGTCTCCCAGTTTCAAAAAGCATGGATGTTGCTGGGGGGTATGCAACACGGGGGAACGTACCAGACAGAAATACTATTACTGATTTTGTGATGTCATCTGAAAACCATAGCCAGTGTAGAATTGTTGACTAAAAAAGTCCTTGGCATTTTGGGATTGTTTAAGTACCCTGCCAACAATCTCCAAAGATTTCTTATCCATGCTTCTCCCAACATGTTTAGAATATAAAATACATGAAAAGAGACAACAGACAAAAACGATAGCATAAATGTGCCAGACAGGAGAGGCTACTGTAAGTAGAGGCTAATAAGAGGTTGTAGTGTGCCAAGTGCATAGCTGGTTTCCATCTCTCAGTGGGCACATAGCTAAGGAATATTCTATCAAAAGATTAAAACAGCAGAAAGAAGTATACATTAAACCAAGTAAAATGAAATTGAGGGAATGTGAACAGATGCCTAAAATTCATATACATGCACACGTGGCAGCTATGATACTCAAACAAATGTGATGCTTCAGGGTGCACTTTAGGGAATCTTTTGAAGTTGCATCTACAAATTCAGTTATCTGTAAGCTCCATGACAGGCTTGAAAATGTAAGAGACAAGTATTAACTTTTACTATTGCCTTTCAAGAGATTATGCTTAGAGATGAATTAATAATTATAAAAACTTTCCTAAAAAATATTGCACTGCTGATCTCATCTGGGAAGGACAGAGAGAGTATTTTAATATGCCAGTGAAGCTTTCTCAGTATACAAGTTTTTCAGCAGTTTTCTAAAACCAGTTTTGTTTTAAAGTCTGAAAATATTTGATCTCTTTTAAAAATCTGTTTTACATAAAACATACAAAGCCATGAGCACTATAAATAAATGCTTCATTAAGAGAAATAAATTAGTCTTAGAACTGAATAAATGTAAATGTAATGGTCATGACAGGCTGTTAGCGAGGGTTCATCCTTGCATCTGCAGGAAAGCACAGTTCTTTAGACTAAGCTGGAAACAACGTGGACAAGGTTCAAACAGGGACTTCATGAAGCTTAGGCTCTAAATGGAAAATGACTCTCAGAATACCTTCATGTCAGCATTCATGTTTGGGTCACTAAAGTTTTAATGTGAGAAGTCTATTTCTGTTCAGGATTTGTTCAAGTGTTGCAGTGCTCAGCAGTACTTATCTCCTGACTTGGCCTCACCAGGGCAATTCTGCTGCTCTGATTCACAAAGAGCCCAAGAGCAAACTTTGCAGAGTCAGGCTTGGTTTAAAAAAAAACAAAACAAAACAAAAAAACACAAACAAACCACCACCAACAACCCAGGAGCAAACAAAAACACTGTTTCCAAGTAATAACCTGCAGCCTTTCCTTACAAAAGAAATCTAGAGCAAATGGCAAATGTCCTTTTTCCATTATGTAATAATAACACTGCTTGTCTAAAACATAGAACGTGCAGGGTTCAATTAGCCCCCTCTTTTCTAAAAGCCTAATTGCTTTTACCTAGATGGGGTGACAAACAGCTAAGTGTATTCTTTATTTACCAAGCATTATTTAAGCCAACATGTGGCTACTACCAGTGTGACCTCCCTGCAATGTCTGCCTTCCCTGTTCCTCTGGAACTTTAGATCACAGCTGCTACTGAGCTTCAATGTTCTGGAACAACCGCTAGAGGGAGATGTGACAATTAACTAATATTTGTCAGGTACAGGATAATTTCTACATTTCATGTGAGCATCCTTCTTTGACGCTACCTGAATCAGACACTAAGTGCTGTGGTCTGTATCCAAGGCAGCTAATGTGCTTCAAAGCACAGAATGACACTTCTCTATTATAGAAAAATGAAGCAATTTTTACAAATGTCTGAGCAAATGATGTATAAAATGAAAGGATAATTTGTTTTTATAGCTTTCTGCTAAGCTCTGTACCACACTGCCCAGCCTGCAAACAATTTATTCTGTACGAAATGTCACTAAATAATGACAAGGACTTAAGGTCAAACTGATTTACATTATATAATTTAAATGTTATTCCAAGCAGACCTGATGGCATTTTGAACAAATAATCTCATTTATTTTTGAAGTGCTAAGTTTTCAACAAGTTAATTACAGCTGAACTAATGGGTAAACTAAGCACTATAATAAAACGTGTGAAGCTTTCCTTTATCCAAGTTTAAGAATTTAGAGAATTATGTAAATACTAAACATTAAAAATAAAACAGCTTTACAGGAATTACAGGGTCTATGGTTTACTTGCGCAGATTCTAAAAGTGGTAGCAATTCTTTTTCTTACTAAGCTGCCAAAGAATTATTGCAACCTTGTTTTAAGGAAGTCCTTCTGAAATGGCAAATGTTGCAATTAGAGGTTTTATTGTTAGAAAGAAAATAGCTATTTCTATTGAATGTCCTCTGCAGTTCAGTCTGTAGTCAGCTTTCAAAGCTAGAAAATCTGATAAATCTCAGATTATTTCCTTTCCTAACACTTGCGTATGATATGAATCAGCAAAACAAAGGGACTTGAGAAGGAAATTCTGTCTCCTCAAGTATGCCACTCCAGAATTTTTTTTTTCCTTACAAGGTCTTTTTACTTGCAGAATGCTCTACTGAAATATTACAGGCTTAGTTGAAAATGGTAGGTGTCTCCAGTAAAATAAAAATGCTTCTTCCTCATGCCTGAGTCAAATCCATTTGACATAACTATGCTCTGGCAAATCATAGTCTTTTACTTTTCCACTGTTCTGGCTGTTTGAGATTATTAAAAAAAATAAATAAACAGAGAACCCCAAAGCCTGATGATATTCCTGATGTTGTTCCTGTTGTCTTAGGACTGAAGTCCAAACTAAGAACTTTAATATACACCTCGCATCTGGGAACAAAGCTGCAAACTATCCTTGGATTATTGGTAGGAGAAAATGAGGAACTGCGATATGCAAGCTTATTATGTCAAAAATTGTGCTGCAGAATAGATGCAATCTGATACTGTCTGTGGACTGGTTTATATATTTAAAATATTGTTTATCTCCTGAAAATGCCATGGTAATGTTAGTAAGGGGGAGAGTTAATGATTCATCTGCAGATGCTACATTGTGGACAGACTAATAGTTCGCTATGATTCAGACTATATATTTGGACAAGTTAATATGCATTTTGATCTAAGCAGATAAAGAGTTTTCTTATTGTCCAGAGTATGTGACACAGTTAATTCACTGCTACACATGACAAATTGGAGCTCCTCATGCTGAATTTTAATAATGAATGATTAATTTCTGACACCAATCTTGACAGATCATTAACTGTAGCAGAATTATCAAGCTCTACATCATACTTTTTTTTTTTTTTTTACACAATGAAACTCAAGAAAATCAGTCCTACTTTAAGAAACTTACCATAAATATTTGTCTTGAATTAAGTGTATTGATAACTAACTCTTTGTGTGAATAGTACTTGTAAACACAGTAAATTTTAAATAGCAATTTTCTCTGTCGTAACTCAACAGGAAAAGAGGACAAAAACCAGTTCAGGATTGTCAGTGCAAAGAACATAGGAAAACTCGCTCTTATTGGAGCAAGTCAAATCCAGTGCATGGCTGGGAATAAATCCACCTATGTATTTTATGCTTATCCATACCAAACTTCATCTATTGTACACAGGAGACCTGAACTATCTGAACTACCTGAATAGGAGGCATTTACTATCTTTCAATAAAACAGAAGTGCTAAATTGGGCAGGCTGGTTAACATTAGTCACAAAATTGTGTCAGTATGGCTGCAGAGATTCTAAGTGATGGAGAAAACGTGGCCTGTTTTCACAGTAAGTCAGAGAAAGTGTGTAATGAATTCCACTTCTGAATTATTCCTTCTCTATTATGGATTAAAGAAATACAACATTATGGAGTGTAATAAATACACTACTATGGAAAAATGTACTGGGTGAGTGGTTTCACTCAAATACACTGCATATGAAAACATAACAGAGAGCTCCAAGGAAATACTTCAAATAGGTCAGTGTTCAATGTAGTAAACTCAGATGTACATTCCAGAATATTCTCTGCTGTAAAAAAACTGGCTTTGAAAAAAAATCTTTGCCAAAGATTAAAAATATATGTATATCATTAAATGTTCCAAATAAATACAAATTCTAGGAATGTCTGTCCTCAAAATTTAACCTGCAAGATTTTAGTGATAAGCTCTAAATAGCTCTAAATAGAAGTTAATAGAATGCATCTCTTAAATTCACAATCCTCCAGAGAACATCCTTTTTGGCATTTCTTCTCAGGATCTTTTATATGCTGTGCTCCAAACTGTTCCCATGAATAAAACACCTACTTTCCTATACTCTGTGAGAAGGCAGATGTGATGAGGTGGGCTTGAAATATTTCTCACACTTCTGAAAGAGATGTTCTACCTATTTTTAGCCTTGTCAAGTACAAATAATTTGTTTACAGTTCGGAGCATATGCAGGGACAAATTCTTGTAAGCATAAATATTTTAAAGTTCAAGAAACAGACTGTAGAGTACAGATTTCTCAGCTGTACAACCTTACATCTCAGCTTTTTAAAATTATGAAGTAGGAGAAAATTTTTTGAATGTGAAGAGCTACTAATATAAGGAGGTAGACATAATATGATGGAAGAATCTTGATGCTTCCAAATTGACCTCCTTCAGCTGGGAAAACTTTGTGCTCTTGGGAGCAAATGGAGTCAACTGACACAGACACACATGCAATGCAATTGCATGATACTGAACCAGAGAAGAGCAGGCTGAGGGACTTTACGTATAGCTGTTCTCCACAGCCATTAATATGGTAACCTCTAGATACCCCATTCATCTGTAACTATCTCCATGGGTCACCAGAGTTCACTGATAACCTGTGATAAACAGAACAGAGGACTATAACTAAGAACATTAGATTTACATAAATAGCATTTAAGTTAAATAGAGAAAAAATCCTCTTACTTAATCCAGTTCATCAGCTCCACAGTGTCTGGGTCATAGAATTCTCTGAGCTCTAACAGTTCATCCATTATTCCTGGCCAGAACTGCAATTAAAATACACAGACTGAAGACAGAATGAAAAAAAAAAAGCCACCAAAAACAAAAACAACCATCACAAGGATGCTGAAATAGATATTAATTCCTCTCAGTTGGTAATCAGTCTTGTCCAGCTCACTGATTACAAGACTCAAGCTCTACTCTTCTTATGAAAGATATGTGACTGTCATAATAATATAAATTTTGAGAGTTACATATCTGCAGCTCCTGCTAGATGACCAGAAGAATCCTAATGACTTCTTCTGGTGACCTTGAGGAGAAAAATAACTTTTTTCAAATTCTGATCTCACTGAAGTTTCCCAGTACTCTATCAGTTTAAGACCAGTTTATAACTTAATACCCGTGGGAAACTAAAAGTTGCCACCAAAAGTGATTGTTGAGCATGGTATCTACTTCACAAACAAGTCACTTCAGTTCTTTGAATGAATCGTAATGTTTTGAGTTTTTTTCCAGCCAGAGCAAGCTTTAAGAAAAGGAATAAGATAAAGAATAGTTCAGTGTGTAACAGCCAAGATATCAAAGCCATCAAAGACTGACCAAAAAAACTCCAAACAACTAAAAGAACAAATTTTTGTTGCTTAATGTCACGGAGTTGATTAGATCAATCTACGTCTGTGACAGGTGGCAACAGGCCTCTAGAAGATATTCAAGGGCAAAAGGGATCAATTAAGAAAGATGACAATGCTAATGACTGATTGTTTTGTATCTGTCTTTACTAGAGAAGCAGTAATGGGTGAAACCCATTCCAATCCTACTTTCTTTAGATAATAAGAATTGCTGGCTTGTAAAGTGAAATTTCACCAGAAAAAGTATAAGAAAAGTATAAGAAAAACCTCCTGCTGATTAAAAAAGCAACAAATCTTCTAATTTATACCATTTTTCATCCTGGAACTCGGGACAAATTTGAAACTGATCCTGCTGAGCTACTTGGTAAAAATATGTTCTTTCACTAGAAGTGTAATTATGTAGGACTGGAGCACAGGAGATATAATTGGCCCAATTAAGACGCTTATTAGTATAACTCCGTACTTGATACATTTGTTAAATACTGACTACACTGAAAAACATCTAATAGATAGTTATGGCAGAAATACTGGCTTTGGCTGTGTATTGCAAAGTGCTCTAGTATTATAACAGTGTATTTCTGCTCTTCAGAAAATTTCCCTTGAGATTAATAAGTAAATTAAGCAGTTGTGAAATGAGGGAAGACAAATTCTTCTCTTCACTGCTGAATTACCCCATGAAGCCAAAGATTTTTGGGAGGTTGGAACATCACTTCTGACTGGAGGCTGAAAGAAATCGACTCTTTTAATTCTATAAATTATTTTATAAACCTGCTCTGTGATGTACTGAAAATGTGATGACGCTGGGCTATCTACTGAATGCTGGGGCAGCTAAAGAATTCACAGAAATAATTTAACACTTTCAGTTTATCTGAAAGAAGTTGTTTGTGTCATACTAATGAAGAAAACCTTTTAAATAGGAATATAGATGTTTTGTAGGTCTCAAGACTTAATGAAATCTGAACAACTAGCATTTTAGCTGCATCCGTATCTGAAAAAGTTAATGATTGAGTGATATATTTGGGACCCTAGTAACCACAAGCCTCAACAGAGGCTTTCGTTAGTTTACTTAGGATTAGGCTAATAATCCCATAATGCTCCTATTTTGAGGAATGGTGCTGAAGCTTGGTTCTTCTGACAAATGCAACCAGAACAGGTTATAGAATGCAAATTAACATTCACTGTTAGTTCAAAATAGCTAACTATGATGGTTAGTTAAAGTTTGCGATGAATGTGCAAGATGTTCATGCAGTCTGAGCAGTCATTGTGCAAGAACACATGGATTCTTATCTGGAAAGTAGAAAGATAAAGTCCCTTATCTAAAGCCACTTGCTCTGTCTTTTTTGTTTAAAGCTTCTGGAGGGAGAATACAAAATGCTGTCTCAAAGAACTGACTGGCAGTTTCTGGATCTTCCTCTGTAAGAATTTTTATTCCAGGCGTTGAGGGGAAATCTGGTGACAAGCTTTATCTGTCTATTGGTCTGTCGGCTAATCTTCTTCCTGAAAGCTCCCTAACTTCTTTTGCCTTTCAAAGAAGACATACGTAGATATCCACACCTCTTGTAGCTGTATTTGTAAGAACTGACTTCTGAAAGTCCAACAAAAAATACCAGGCTGGCAAATTTCACTATTCTTGCTGAGCACTTTGAATAGTGGTATTTTTAATGTCAGTAAAAATTATTTCCCATATCTAGGGGGAAAAAAAACAACCATGAAAATGAGACTGACTGATCTAAAGCATATAAAAATCAGTGATTTCTGTTGACTTCAGAATCGAATCTGACAGGATTCAAGAACTTTCTATCTACTCATAAAGAATGAGAAGAAATGCATTCCTATCTGATCTGTCACATTAGACCATCAGTTAGAATGTTATGCTCTTAGCATCACCTGTATCGAAACAAATGTCATTATTTCAATCATTTGCATAGATGGTAGAAATGGTAAATGACTTCCCCAACTAGCACGCAAATGAAAAAAAAATAATTCTAAGTTGTCCACTTGTAGAATATATCAGTGCAACTTCACTAAATAAACTGTTGCAGAAGTTAATTCTCCAATGAAGAACCTTCTGATTTTTTTTTCTTTGCAAATGCAGGTTAAAAGGAAAGTATGCCAGTTAGTTTAATGATAGAACTCTCCCTACTTTGACAGACTAATAAACTTGTAGATGTTATAATTTTAGCCCATTATTTATGCTTTTTATGTTCTGTATTTTAAAATGTATCAGATGAGGCAATGCAGTATATTTTGCAGTGAATGTTTTGATTATTTCTGCTCTTACAATAAATCATTACACAATTGAACAATGTGCATGTAATCTGCATTTTTTTAATGTAACTTAGGTAAAATCAAAACAGACAGCCCATATTTCCATAAAGTTATGCATATAAATCATACTTAGTAACTTAAACATATAATTAGACAAACCCATCTTTTTTCTATGAACACTACTTTAGATCAAATGAGTCCAAATTACTCTTCATATATTTTTGTTCATATGAAATTGTATTTACACGTTAAGTAGGTCTATCATGATTTTGAAAATTTAGCTATAAATGTCTAAACAGTTATGCATAAGAATCTCTTTAGAAAACTCCATTCAATTAAAAAATGCCAAAACATTGAGCGAAAAATACTTACCTTATATAAAATGTATAGTAATGTAATTATTGGTATCAAATATTTAATCACTTGTGTCTAAGAAAAACCACAAAAGAAAAGGTTATTGTTACAGTACATTTATTTGGTTACTTAGTTATTAACATATTGATCTGACACACTATAATGTGCTGGAATTTACATATTGTGAATTTTAAAGTCACAATCCGATTTTGATTTTGTTTTAAAGTGAAGCCCTTCTTATACACCCATGATAAAGTGATGGATTTATAACTATATGTTTAATCTGCTTTCTACAAACACTGTGTTTTTCACTTTAACAGATTGTAAAGTTCTTTTTGGACTGCTGCTGATTTCTTATTATGGTGACTAAGATGTAATGCTGTCGTTATTTTTCATAGCTATATCAATATTGCCATCTAGAGTATTAAAATGGAATTGTTCAATATATAGGACACTAGAAAATATGCTTTATTAAATAAGTTAATACAAATGTGCTTCTGAAATAATTTGTTTGAAAGGACAAACAAAATTCATTTGATTTTTAAAGTTTTGAGTCTTGACTGGTTTAACAAAAAAAAAAAAAAAAAAAAGCTTTATGAAATGCAGTAAGCATAGTGCTAACCCGCTGTGACGTGTAGAGATGAGCACATTTCAAGATAAGTCGCCACACTTCGGTACTACACAGACCAAAAGATGCAAATACACACATGTGGGATGTCCAGAGGTACTTCATTCTGAAATAATACAGACAAGTTTTTGCCTTTTCACTTTTTGCCAGTCTGTATTGATAAGGGAATTTATGTTAGAGAAATTCTGAACAGTTTTCTTGGACTTTCAGGACTCTACAATAATTTTGTGAAACATAAACGTCACTCTTTACTGTGTGCTCTTGAGAACATATCTGCCCCAAAACTCCAAACAATATTTTTGTTAGGATTTTGGGAAATGCTTTAGGAAAGAAGGAATGATAGATCCAGGAGAAAAAGAAGGTTCTTAGCCCTATCAGTTTGTGGTCAGCATATTTTACACTCTCACTAATATGTGTTGTCTACGAAAACCTTTAGTAAATTAATTATTAGAAAGTACCTCATTGTGCTTAATGCCAGACATCCAAAAAGAACGGTGTGAATTAAGTTGTAAGCAGCATCAGGCTTCAGTGATACAGTGCATTCTTCCATTTTTTCGAGGGCTTGATTTGAACAGCTGATTAAGCACAACAAGTAATAAGTGTTAATAAAAGCATTTAATCCTTCTGATATTAAAGGGCAATACTGCTATTGTGAGTCCACAATCTTATATTACACCTGATATAATTAAGCCTTCTAGCACCAGCTTGATACAGCATTAAGTATTTACTTTCACATATGCTTTTCTAGAAGTAATTGTTTCTAGACCTCAATTGTTTCTAGAAACTCATGCTTGAACATCTTGGTCTAATGCTGTCAGTTCCCAAGCCTGCTGAAGAAGACAAAACTGATTTAAAAAAACCAAACAAACACCTAAAAACCAAAACAACAATGACAGAACATGACAAACTGAATTATTTTTTAAATGTATTTTACCTGAGGTTCCGAAGAGCAACAATGACAGCTGTTACTGTCATAGGGAAGAGAACGAATATGTAGACATAAAAAAGTAATGTATCAGAGAGTCTTGAAAAAGTATTTAAGGGCAGTAAACCAAAAGCTTCTTCACAAAGATAGAGACTAGCATCAAAATCTCTAAAGAAAAAAGAATAATACTTGTCATCATGTATGTCATAATTTGAAATAAAGAAGAATCAGTTTTTCTTTTTTCTCAAGCAATCATAACGCCACGGTTGTGCCGTTGTTGAAGTTGAACAACAAAAAGTAGAATTGCAGCTAAATCATACCTTGTTGCTCCAAATCCAAATTTTGCTTTGAGGAATTTGAATATATGTTCATCTGACTCAAGATTAAGAATTTTCTATGGAGGATGGAAAAAATAAAAGAGCAATCATTGTAAGTATAAAAAAAACCTAAAAGGTTAAGAAAACTTGTTTACTATGTTAAATCAAACTGTGAAGAAGCACAGGCTTACAAAGGTAGGATGTTTTGCAATGAAATAAGCACTCATTTTGTAATGTGGTGCTGTGGCCCCAGGAGCAAATTATTTACATTTTAAAATACACTTAAAAATATATATATATTTACAGATAAATTCTACCAATGATAAGTTGGCTTTAGCCATATTTTCTACTTCCCTGACTTATTACATCATACTGTGATATTTTTATACTCCTCGTGTACTAAGTTTTAACATTTGGATTATGAAGTCTCTGGAAGAAAAAGTGTTATTGTCTTCACTATTGTGTAGATCTCAATGCACAAGAAGCAAGTAAAGGTATTGTATCACCTACATCATTTTTATAGCAAATATTCAATATAACTGTGTGAACTGAAAAGTCAATCAATGAAACTTAGCAAACGCTGAGCAGTATCGTAATGTAGTATAAATCTAGTTTATTCATAACTTGAAGCCACCTACAGGTGGGCTTTTAGTTATGAATATGTATTTGAATATGTGGTGTTAATTTACATTAACAATTTTAAGACTGTGTTTCAAAATCATACCAACACAGTTAGCAAAACAATCTTTAATTTCTGAAACCTATTCTGAAACACAGCAAAATCATGGAAACTTTTAAAGATGTTGTTGTACGTGACCTGTTAACAAGTATCTTTCAATGCATTAAATTTTGTAACACTTCTGTATTAAAAGTAATTTGCTTACCTTGATAAATTTATTTACTAGAAGAGTCAAGCTTGACACTAATAGTGCATGGAGGATAAGTTTCCGAAGCCTATTAAGCAAGCTGCCTGTTTTTAGGTTTTTCTAGAAAGAAGAAAATATTGAAGTACTTAAAATGTCTAGGATTTGTATGTAATTGGAACAGAACCAACACAGACTATTTGAAATCACTTATGTAATTAGGCCTTAAGTCAGGATGAGATTTGTATTAGGCTCACAAGCAAAAGTTCAGACATGTAAATATCTAAAATAAAGATATATTTATTCCTTGAAACTGAAGGAATGACATCATAAAAAACCCTTCAGCATATTGTTTTAGCATAGTTCTGTAACTAGCCAAGTATGTATCTTTTCAATTATCTATTCATTACACTTTTCACCTAAATGTGGCAATGTGACAACAACTGTCAGTTGATATGATTTTGACCAATTCAAAGCTCCAGATCTGAGAACTGTTTCACTCATAGACAACTTGGAGTGGGTGCAGATATCATCTTAAAAAAATAAAAAAATAAAATCACAGTTCTGATTTTACAAGGTTGGGTGAGTGAGAGACAGCAGGGAATGCTCTATAGGTTCATATATTCTGGCTATTGGCTGTCAACAGTTCCACTATCCGGGGAAAAAAAGAGACTGTATGTAAATAGAGGAAAAATCCCAATCTTTGAAGGAAAAAACCTATTTCAGTAAACTGAATTTGACAGGTACCTATTTCTCATAGAATATTTTGCTTGAGGCAGATCTCTGCATCCAAGACAAAACCTGCTGAAACAGGTGTGAAGTCCATTTATGCAGATTTTATGTGGAATTCAAATGGCAGCTTGTACAATCATAAATGTTAAAAGAAATCACAGAATTATGGTGTTTGATGTGCTCAATTGTAGTTAGTGTAATTGAATACATTATTTGATCATGCAATGTTTTTGTTCTTCTACTCTAAAGTAATTTTTCTAATTAGTATTAGAAATTTAAGATTATAATGCATATAAATTACTCACTTATACTGTTTATATATTACTTCAAACATATTTCAATACATACCTGGATTGTTCTTGCTATCAAGATAGAAGCATTAAAGCTTATAAGTAATGATCCAAGAATCATTGAGTTAAAGAACTGTAGGGCACAGACTAGCAGTAATCCAGAAAGTTGGATGATATAGAGCCACATAACCTGTAAAAATGAGATTTTTATGACTCAAAATTTTACTGTAAGCTGCTTTACTTTTACTGTGTTTTATAATTTATTTCAGCATCAATTATTTTTACAAAACAATTTTCTTGCACAAAATCATCATACAGCCATTACTATATTTTTTCTATATTTATAGAAATAGTAGTTAATATTTTATACTTTTCCTGGGAAACCTGATGCTGTAATAAATTGGGCAAGTTAAATACTTGCAGAGTGAGGAAAATATTAATTAGTTAGGATTTGGGAGATGTAATCTATTTTCTTTAGTCACAAAAGTATATCTGTAGCCTCTAGCATGTTTTTATGACTAAAGACCTTCAGCTTAATGCAGTACAGCATTAATTATTATCTAATCCCTGTGTAACTTCCTTTATGTCTTTTCAAACCATTATGTCCATTTACTTCGATGCAAACACTAAAAAAACAGCTGATTTTCTGATACATTGGTGCCAAAACCATAAATTTTACTTTACAAAAAGTAAAGTTCAGTCTTGCTTTACTGTGGTCATCAAGTTGATTGTTAAATGGCAGTGTTAAGCAGTGCTTTTGGAAAATTAATATGGAATAACAGTGGTGTAGTAAATCCATTAAAGTTCAGCTTTATGCTGTTAATTTAAGGTAATTTAAGGTAAACTGTAATTTAAGGTATGCCAGCATTGAAGGTAGCTAATTAGTCACATTAATTGTTAATTTCAGCTTACATGTACAAATATAATGAAAACGGTTCAGTAACTCTTAAATAAACCACATTATTGTGATATGTATTCACCATACTAACATTTGGTTATGTTAAAACAATCACTAATATTCAAATCAGCATCAAATTTTGAATGAAATTAACCTGAATTACTCATCATTCTATCATAACTTTTCTTAAATTTAAGTGAGAAGCTTTTTCGAATTGTGTACTAATCGCAAAGGCTATAATGCCAGCAGAACTGTACGCTGGCATTGGATTCAAAGAAAGTGGTTTCATCTTCTATAGTGTACTTCTTTCCTAAGATCTTCCTAGTGATGTTTGCTTTACTTTTGTCTCATTCAGTTTGTGGTGAATTTCAATATTATTTTGTGCTGGACAACAGCTTATAACAGATAACTGTTTCTCCTGAGCAGTCCTGTCCACCTTTCTCTTTCCTTTTGTGGTACAGTGCCTCTACCTAGCTTTCAAACAAGGATGTACAGAAGTTCAAGTAAAATTCTTAAACTCTTATGACTTCAGCTCAAAGATTTTTTTTTTTCCTGACCATTTCTATAGGACATGTTCAAGTTGTGGTAAATAAATGTTAGAATGGTGTTTAAAACCAGTCCCATTAGTACTGTCAAACTGTAGCAATGTCTTAACAAAATTAGATGAAAGTTTAGCAACATAAGTTAACTACATGAAGTGAAAATCAGCTGGGAAAAAAAACAGATGATGTATATTTTGATTATTCACTTTTTCACTTAAAAGACATGTGCTATGATTATTCAGAAGCACAAGGGCATACAGGCCTTACACCAGTTAGTGTAATACTTCCAGAACTGTTAGCTTTATCATAGAAAAGAGAAAAGTTTGCTTATTTCCAAACATGATCTTACCTTTGCTGTGGGAAGTATGTCAAAGCAGTCCAGTATGAATAATGCCAATGCTTGTATCAGCATCATAAACTGATTAAATTGCCAAGTCAAGCTAAAGAGGAAGGTGGCTACAAATACAGCCAGAAGCGTCAATCTCTAGGAGGGTGGAAAGAAGATTTATTTCACATTTACTTTCTTTATCAGATTATTTAATTTGGTTTTAAATTCATTTTTAAAATGAGAATTCATGCTCTTTAACTGCAGTAACTATTTGCTTGAGTTTTTTTGGAGCTTCAAGTACTTGTATTTATGTTATGTACGTATACATAGTATATGTAAAAGCATAGTTTGTATATATATTTTGTGTGTATATATAAATACCTATTCACACGGACATACATTAACTCCAGTGCTAGAAATGCTTTTAAAGTAATTTTCCCCAAGTTCTACATGAGTATTTCTGATAGTAGTTTTATTGTGTTGTACTTATAAGATATACTCACTTCTTGAGCCGGCTGCAAATGACTTCTGAATAGGTACGTGATGGCTGCTATCTGAACTGCAAAGAATGGCAGGGCCCAGTTTTCTCTCAAGGGAATGGTGAATTCTACTCTTGTAGTATCTATTCTGCAAAACAGTTTCATAAATTTAAAGCAATTATGAAGATTCTGCAGATCTACAGATTGTTTCTATGACTCAAGAGTTGTACTTACACATCACTTATTGTTAAAAAATTTGTAGGATGTATTAAATATTGCTGCTAAAGCACTGCCTGGTTAACTTAGAAATAAACAGAGCAATCTCAAAGTGCAGCATGTGGAGTTCAAGTCACAAGTAATTCTACTTTGCCTTTTGGTTTCTGTAAAAGCAATTATCAGAATGTTAAGCCATCAGATTCTCCAGTATGAGCCCAATGCATTGGATCTTAATACTGCTAATCTAGTCAGAAACTTTAGGTAATTTCTGTAATACTCTAACATAAAATCTATGTTACAGAAGTTAGGAAAAACTTCCCAACGGTCAATCATTATAAAAACTCAAAGTTTATAGCAACTAAATCAAATTTATCTTGTGTAGATAAAATGTTTGCTAAACACAAAACAAGCAATACGCATGAGACCTGCTTACTCTCAGATGTAAAATGCACTACTCAGATGTACTTCACTTGGTCAGTGTTAATCTGAAATCAATTCCATGTACTTATTCTATCTCCATAAGTGGTAACAGACGTTGTTTATGAATTATTAGAAAAAAAAGACAAATCCAAAGCTTTTGTAGGTGAAAAAGATGACATTATGAAATAAACATGTGAACACATTGCACATGTTTTTAAACCACTTTAGTCCTAGGACAAATAACACTCATTTTAACAATACATACACATATTTGTTCTGGAATGGATATGTCTGCAGATATAAACTTCTTCAGAACTGCTGATGAACATACCAAACATTTCTGACAGAAGTGACACTGTACTTTTATGTTCTTGCTTGTTACAGAAAACAGCCCATGTCACTAGCTTTAGCTTCATTCCAGTAGTTCAGTGCCTGCTTAAAGAAAGTCCCTATTGTTTCTCCCTGAATGGGGAAATGGTGGTAAAGAACTAGGGTAGTTCAACTGACAATTTTTTTTTTTTTATTTCCTACAGGAATAAGGGAACAGAGAAGCTGAACTTAGTGTGATGATCTTAGGCTGTTGGAAGAATCCCTGAAGGCTGGCTGTGCAGATAGTAAGGTGAGACCTGAAGAATGTATAAACAGATGTCCTTTTAGCACTTAGTGCACCTCAGGCTGGAAAAGACAGGGTATGTTATCTGCAGATTCAGACGCATCTGAAAGATGTAGTTTACTCTCTGAGATCAACTCTAACCAAAATTTTATATTCCAATTTCTTGAAACTTTAAAATTCCAAGTCTGCATTTTCAGCTCATTTTTTGATTGCCAATTATTTTCTATTTTTTTTCATTTTCTGGCTAATTGGAGAGAAACTGTCTAGTTTGAGCATGCATCTGAAAGTTTAGTGCCCTATCATTGACATGAGGTAAAATTTTAGAAAAACTGAATGTTGACTCTCACCTACCTGTTGGTAATATACCAGCAAGCTGCCAGTAACCCTGAAAGCCATGTTCCACTAAGAAGCCAGCTTGTTACATACAGAGCAATGACATAAACTGCCTGAAGTCCAAACAAAGTGTAGATATAAAAATAAACAGGCTCTAGGTATTGCTGTAAAACACAAGAACACTGATGTTGTCATAAAACATTTGGGGAGGGGATTATACTTAACATGAATTAGATTTTGTTTTAATAAATTAAAAAGGCATGAGAAATGTTTCTAATTGGAAAAAAAACAAAACTGAAAAGAAGAGCTATGATTCACTGGACAATCTTCATAATGCACTTACAGTCTAAAGCCATAAATAAATGCCTACCTGAATTGGAAGAATCCTATACAGAATGCTGAGAAACACCTCCTGGTAAACATTCATTCTTTCAAGTATGTTAATTGTCCTCACAGATTCAGTTTTATTGTCATATACTAAACCATGTAAACCTTAATGATAAAGAGAAATTGAAATAGGAGATTGTCATTTTTTCCCCCTCCATCCTCATTTGAACAGTGAACAATTTTTTCAAAGGTATTTTAGGATCTTTCACCAAAACCTGCAAATGTTGAGCCAAGGATTCAGATCATACTGCCTCTAAATCACTATGACCATCTGAGGTCTTCTAGAATATGAATCAGAGTGCTAATTCAAGTACTATGTATTTAGTGACATATAAAACATTAATTTCTGCACTTAGATTCCTAATACAGAATATGTGATAGTGAACCATTCTTGTCACTACTTCAAAGGCATGCAATGTTTATATTGACAAAAAATGTAGAATAAGCAAAGTTGTGAGAGAGCACGTTAGAAATCTAGAAAATATGGCAGTCACAGTAAACTCGCTATTGTATTTGGCTTGCTTTTAAAAGCTGCTCATTGGGTCACTTACTGTGTATTGGTGTACAGTGTAAAATTACCTCTTCCCACAAATAACTCATCATGTAAATTAAACAACAAGACACAAATAATAATGAGAGTAACGTACTGAATAAATCAGCAAGGCTGAAACCTGAACGGATATGAAAGTTGTCCTTCAAGGCGGAGGGAGGCACAGAAACCAATGGACCACTGTGAAACAGGTCATGTCCATATCTTAGTGGCTCCTTGGTGGATAAACAGAACGAATCTGTTTCCAGTACAGTCATTACACCATCTTTCAAACCTAAGGCATTCCTTGTCCTCAACCATATTTGAAAATACGTTAAGAACAGTCTGCTGGCAACATGAAGTAAAACTTACTTCACTGTTTACAATACCTTGCTGGATGGAAGCAGCCTGAATCATCTGTTTGTAGTAGGAATAATAAAGTCCACATTCTGTTCGGAATGAAATTTCTCTTTCAACTTCCTGTAGGTGAAAGTTCAATAATAAATTCAATTTCTATTTGCTGTTCACAATAACATGAAGCAGCCAGTTTTTTTCTTCCATTAAGTCAATCTGATAGGTATGGTAATTAGTGAATTTTGCTACCAATGACATTAAAGTAACCTACAGAAGTAGCCTTCTAAAATCCTAATTCAATGGATTTGATTGGATATTCATCCAACCGATTACTGAAGTGCCAATTTCAGAATAGAAAATTTATTTCAGATTTCAGTATGAATAAAAACTAGAAACTCTCATTCTATCTACATGGGGGAAACTGGCCCACAGAGTGGTTTGAGTATTTGAGTTCATTCTATTAAACTTAGTTTAAATAAAGGTAAAATAAATGCACAGTTGGGTGAGAAGCAAATGCTGGAGATGCTGATGCTTCTGTTAACATAGTAATGTATATGACTTCTGTGTTACCAATATGCAAATCTGAAACATTTTAGATATTTTACAATTTTTGTAATATTCAATGTTTAGATAGGTGCAGTGGCCAACAGTTGGAGCTTAAAACTGCTTATGTGTGCTCCATGCAATGTAATGTTTTTTTCCAGATGTGGATATCCCGTAGTGTTCCATGGCTTTGCCACCATAAGGCTTGATTAAATCAGTATGTGATACTTGGGACTACAACATAATCCCAACCCTGGGATCTCAGCTGGCAGGGTATGCTGCTGCCCACCTGCTAAGCGCTGTTTCTTGTTAGAAGCCAGCTGTTTGTTACTTTCATATTATTATACTTAAATTTGGGGTAAAAGGAGAACTGACTATTTAGTTGTTTTTAGACATTGGTGGAGTTATTTTTTAATCTAAAATGTTCAAATCATCCAAGTTAAGTGCACCTCAAACTCTGACATTTTCTTGGCTGATACTGCAGCAGGTGGGGTCAAGTGAGGCATGAAAGCTCTCCTAGATAAAACTAGTCAGAACAAGATCTCTTTTGTTTCCTTTTATTAATTTATCAGTTGTGAGGATTTGATGAAATTTAACAAATTCAGACATGCTTGGGTGACCACATTTAACCAAGATAAGACTGCATGCACAGCTAATTTGATGAGAAATAGTAGGCATCTTTTAGAAAATTATTTTACTACCAGTTATCACTTCAGTAGTTTATTTAAAAGCATTCTTGCAATTATCTCTGATAAACAATCAATTAGAAATGGTTGATATCCAGATTTGAAATCCAATGAGATTCCCATATGTGGTGCAAGCAAGACACACATTAAGAGCTTTGGTTGAGATTTCTGAAGATAATCTCATTAATTCAGGTTTCTTTACAAAAGAACATTACTGAAATAATAGAATGATACTGTTTTCTGGTATTTTTATGAATGCCATTCTAGTTAAAACAGCCATGCATAGAATCCTAAGACCTTTACCTCCCTACAGGTTCCATCTCTTCTGCTGGCACAGAATCCATACTATTTCAGAGCTAAAATAAAGCTAGACAGAAAATCCCTTACTGCCACTACTGCCCAGTACAGAATCTTATTTCAAAATATGTGTTTTATTGAAGTTAACTTCACAAAATAAATCAGTATTAGTTCTGGTCTGAGAAAAATCAACAGATAAAAATGCATCTGATTCAAAACAAGTCTACAATTAAACTTTCCAGCTGCTCTGCAGCATACAAATTTTTATAATATCAGCAGAAGAAACCAACATTGGCACTAAATAGTAAAAGCAACATACTTAGCATAATGAGAGTGCTGCATTTTCAATGCACTCTACTTTCAAATTCATCATTACTGAAAAGTTTTCTAATACCAAAAAAGCAGCTGATTCTAAGTCTTAAAAAAAATAAAAAAATAATAATAAAAAAGAACGTTAACATTTGGAATTTATTAGGGGGGAGAGTGTAGTCACAGAGGGGAATCTAATTAGCAAAAATGCATTCAAACATGATTAATTTGTAATCCTGGCACCAGCTGCATTCAACCAAATGCTATACTTTATGAGACAAACACTAGTGAGTATTACATCTGTTTCATGCTAAGATAACATCTGCTTTATTCGCTCACAAGACTTTTCCAGTTTTACAGCAATTTATACTTTTCCTAGTACTCCATGTCAATAAAAACCATACAGACTTATGGGTAAGCATTGTAAGAGCATGTTTGCCTTAGTGCAGGTTCAATTTCTCAGTGCTCAGAAAAGAAGTTACCCCTGTTAGAAAAAAAAAAATTCTCCAAGATACATATGGAGTTGCACATAATTTATGCAATTGTATTCTAATAATATTAAGCTTCAAAACAAAATGTAAAGGACTCTCCCTCTCAAGGGCTGTGCAAAACTCTAGAACTCAGTTTTCCTCAAGCTCCTTAGCCAAGTCATTCAGAACACCGAGCAAACAGCCAAAGTTTTAGTTGAGATTTTTAAAAATAAAGAGTACAAGAAAAGCTCCAATTTATTTTTTTTTTTTTTCACAAAGCTAAAGTGCAGTTTTTGTTGCTGAAAATATTTTTTAGCTGTTCAATTTAGGAAATTCAAATCAGAAAGATTTGAAAACTTACTCAATTGTGCAACCCAATGCAGACAGCTGCTATCAGTGCTTCTGGTTACAAATCATGCCTTCAGCAAACATATTTAATCCACATACATGGTCTCTTGGCTGGTTAACCTCAAATCCATCTGTTAGGATGGCATGGTTCCACCTAAGTGGAATCATACTTTCAATTCAGAGTAAATGTACTCAACAACCACTCAGTGTGTACTCCTTTGGAAAGATACTATAAAAGTTCTGGACTGCTGTTTTTTTCTGCTTATGGCTCATGTTTAGTTTGTGAAGTTCTAATTAGCTGCCTACCAGTTTCTCCACTTTTTCTCATCCTTCTTTTATTCTCACAATGTAAACAGAGACAATATAAACTCTCAGAGAAGGAATCCCAGTCTTCTTATGGGGCATGTCTGAACCACTTCAGATTTGTTACTTTTATTCCTGGGCTCTTGTAAGTAGCCACCTTACTAAGACAAAATTGAGTATCAGAAGACTAAATGTTTACTCAAAAGGGATGAAGAACAAATGAAAACCCTGAAATGGTTTGTGTTACAGTACTCATTTGCTACGTGGCCTTGGCTCATTCCCGTTTAAGGCTTCTTCAGAGTTTGCATTTGAACAATAATGATAGCTGACAGAAAAGATAATGAAATTGCTCCCTATTCTGTTATTTTCATAGTAGAACGTGTTTCCAAAAGACTTTACTTGAGGTGCACCTTCAATATATATCCAATGATCTAGCTGTAGGCATCTGATCACTGCAGGGGAGTTGGTCTACATGACCTCTAAAGGTCCATTCCAACTCAAAGAATTCTGTGATTCTATATTCAAAGAAAGATGTTAGTGCATGTGTATGTTAGGTGGCCCTGCTAGGCAGGGGGGTTGGAACTACATGATCCTTGAGGTCCCTTCCAACCCGGATGATTCTGTGATTCTGCATACAGCAAAGTGTTACATGTACACTACAGCAGCAGTTGTTTCAGTAAATGCCAACTATTTTTATTTTTGCTGTGTATGTGTATCTTGGACAGGAAAAGTGCCTAGGATAAAAAATACACATATTGCAATACAAGTATTGCAGTTAAATATAGTTGTTCCATTATACATGTAGACCTAAAAAAGTCTACTTATTTTAGGCATCTTCAAAGGAAAATGACTCACCTAATTCTTTTCACTGGTTAAATTTAGATGTGTGTACAGCTGTATTATTTTCCCATAAAATGATTCTAGGGAGAAAACCAGCCAGAGCTGGTTTCCCCTGCATTGTGGATCTTGGTTTGACATTGGTAAATGTTTGAAATATGTTCTGAATTTTGCACATTTAGAATATACTTCCATAAAATTAGTATTGATTACTAAGGGACTGCTTAAATTGCATTACAAGACCACAGCATAATAGCAACTAAATAATTATTTGCCAAGATTTTGCATATTGTTTTATCTCTTTGTGGTGCTGGTAGTTTTGGATTGCTTTGGATGTATGAGATGATTATAAAACAACATATAGTACACTGTTAAACTCTCTTCTAGATAATGACCAGTCACTGAAAGAACCATTGCTGTTCTTGAGGTAGGAAAGTAACGGCACAGTTGTCTAGCAATGTATTTAGAAGAAAAACAGTTGAATGGTATTGTATATTGAATGGTATTATAACAGAAATGACTGAGGATATAAAAAGCTGTGAGAAGGGAGGTACAGCTCCTGATTTTACATACCAAATTAAAAAAAAAACCACTTTGAAATATTCCATGCCTCTGAACAATTGCAAGATAAGTAAATGAAATTTCAACTAACACTCTTATTAATGCTCTATGAAAATAAATTTTACCTTAATATTGGAAAACCACAGGTCATTTTCATGCAGTGTAGCAACATAAACAGAAGTAAGAAGTCCAAGAAAGATGGCAACAATTCCACCAACAGTTAGTGAGAGTATATTCCACAGCTTTCCACCTGTATGATCTTGGAAGAGAAATATTTGACTGTGTAACTGTGAAGTCATAATTCAACTTTGGTGAACTTTGGAAACTCGTCTATACACTGTGCTAGTAAATTTACATTTCTTAGGCAGCAGGACATTGGATTTTTAGAGCTCTTTTTATGGAGATGTGTCTTTATTATTTCATGCAAGAACTCAGAATGCATGCAAAGCAAAATAAGGTGTAACTTAACTGGAAATACATAGTTAGAATTTAAGAACACAACAACTCTATACAAATAGAGAAATATATCTAACTTGTAAATCTAAATTGAAATATCCTCCAGGGCACATTTCTAATTAAGGCTATACAAGATGACTGTTACATCAAAAGACACTGAGATCTTCAAACTTCTTAGTATAGGTGCCAGTTTTTTTTTTTGGTTTTTTTTTTGGGGGACGGGGACGGGGACGGGGACGGAGGAGTGTATATTTTTTTTAATTAAAAAAAACTTTGAAGGCTCAGAAGTCTTAGTAAGCACTCACAAGGAGACAGTGGCCAAAGCAGCCTTTGATGATAGTGTCAAGCTTTGAAATGCAGATAATCTCCTTTTCACATCAGAATGAGATTACAGACAGAACAAAGGGAAGAAAAGGTTGCGTCTCCAGGCAGCTCAAGTATTGTATTAGTACTGCACTGTAAGCATTGTATACTTACATTCATGATTTTTTTTAATGTTGATATAAGACTTAATATGGATTTTAGTGATCTGGAATTCTGTCCCTTAAGCGGCTATTTCATACTGTGTGCTACATCTACATAAACAGTAACAAAAACACAATTCAATGGAGCTGAGGGCTAGACAATAACATTGTAGCCTAAATGTGTTTGTGTGTAAGCAACTGAGGTAACTTCCATCTACCAAAAATACATGTACAGAAACCTACAGAACGTACAAAATTTAGATTAAAAAAAAAATCCTTAAACTAATAAAACCCAAACAAAACCAAAAACTAAAACTCTGATAACTCTGAAGTTATAAATCCAAAGAACACAGTTAGTACTTTATTATTTAAACAGATCCTCAAATGAAAACACTTAAGGTCTTTCTTTTAAACTCATCTAGATAGTCTGTTCTGTACTACAGGTGAGAGTTTGCAGTTAAATTAATATTTAATGTGCAGTTTGCTTATACTTAAGTACAGTTTGTCAGAGGTCTTCAAATTCTTTTGTTACTGATAACTTTTATATCTTCAAGAACCTATGATTGCTATATGACATCTGATAGTGTGTCATATTACTTGAACAGCTTTTAGTTGAAATTAAATTTAAATTAGGGTTTTAAAATGGAGATGGTAGTATTGTGCAGTAGTTTGCAAACCCTTAGTCTCATCCAATTCATTTTGGTAACAGATTTTCAAGTATGAAAATTTATTTGGTATGTACCTAGTTCTAACCTATGTGTCTAGGACAGAAACCTGAAGCTAAATGCTACTAGAAATCCATAACATTACAAGCCAGTTAATTTACCCACCAGACAGAATTTTTCCCTCAGAATTCACGTTCTTCTCCTCTGAAGGCTGATCTTCATCTGCTTCTGGGACTTTTCCACCCTTTCTCTGTCTTATGGTTGTCATGATGACAGTCACTTTATTATTCTTCAGTCTGACTCCTAGGTGGACACATAAACAGAATGCATCTTCCTACCCAAATATTCAAGTATTACTGTATGAGATTTCTGAAAACAGAACTGCATCATATGCCATAAGAGACTTTAAGTTACAAAACTGTAACTGAGTTGAAGTGTATCTTACAAAATATAATAATTCCATATTGTCTCTTTTTCCTTTTAACAACTCAGATATTAAATTACATTTACCTTTAAATAAATTACATTCATTCATTAAATGAAATTACCCTAAATCTGCAAAGATTCCAGTTCACAATCTTGCATACTCTTGACAAGGGTTTTCAGAATGCTTCATAGTATTGGCTGCCCTCACTTTTGGGTTCCTGACTCAAAACACACATCAGGCTCTATTGCTTTGAAAATTACGAAGAGTGAGCCTTTCACAGAAAAAAGATAATGGTTCTTTCAGGGTATTTTCGTGGGTTCCTAAAATAGAGAGCCATTTGTTTAAGTCTTGGCTTTCAAGAAATCCCAAAAAAGCGTGCTGTGGGATGCAAAAACGTTGCCAAAGAACATGCACTAAAAAAGACAACAGACATCTTTGATGTTTTGTACTATCAAAGCCTCATAAAATACGAAAACATTAAAAAAAAAAAAAAAAAAAAAAAAGCAGCTAGTCATTCTTTTGCCCATTGACAGCTCTCTGTTCTGTGAGTGGTCCACCAGTGAAACTGCTTCAAGCTGCCATTCTGTATTTAGGAACCGGTGATTTCCTGTCTTGCATGCTCGAACGTTAACGTTCTTTGGTGTAAACACCGCTGTTACAGTTAGCACGAGAGTGAGCGAGTAACAGTGCTTATGATCTGAGAAACAAACCTCAGCTGCACGGCTTTTTGGTGCTGAATCAGCTTCACCTCTTTTTCCTTTCCCCAAGCCAAAAACACCTGGACGGAGGTGAGCATTTATCTACGGCGTTTTTAAGCAGCTGGTTTGTAGAAAGCACAATAACGCCGTAATTGGAGCAGGGTGGTCATCGCAACCACGCTTTCTTAAGCTGGCTCAGCCAGTTTCCACTCCCGCTTCATGCCGGAGGGATCGATTTCGCCAGGCTCAGGCAGGGGAAGCCGCGGTACCGCCTCCGCGACGAGGTGAGGCCGGGCCGGGTCAGGCCCCGCGGCGCGGGGAGGCGGCGGGCGGGCAGGTGAGGGGGCCGAGGGCCCGCGCCAGAACCGCACCAGCAGCGGAGCGGCCCCGGGGGGCGGGAGGAGAGGTGGGAGGCCGGGCCCGGGCCGCCCGCCATTCCCTTCCGCGCCGCTCCGGAGGCCGGGCCGGGCCCGGCGGGCAGCGACGCGCGGCGCCGCCTTTCTGCTCGCTGCGGCCTGCGCCGCCGCCCCGCCTCGTCCCGTTCCCCACCGCCCCCCGGTACCTGCCGGCGTTCCCGGGGCCGCGGGGCGGTGGCTTGTGGCGGCGGCAGCGCTGGCAGCGCGGATGTGCCGGGCCCCACCGCGAGGAGGGGAAGGGGCGGGGGTGGGGGCGGACGCGGGGCCGCCGCTCGCCCCTGCCGGGCGGAGCGGAGGGGCTACGGGCCGCGCCTCCCCGAATGCTTTCGGGCTCCAAGGAAGGAACGCGACGGGGTTCCGTGGGAGCAGATACTGGCGGCAGCGCCCAGCTACAAACCCGCCCCAAAATAAGTGCTCCGACTTAATAAGTGCAACTTGTGCTTCCTTATTGCAGCGCATTTAAAGCTTTTTGTCATAACAGAAAGTTTCCCTCTAAAATCTTATCCAAATGCTGACTCCCGTATCCAATTACACAAAGCAGATCTCCCCTAAAGCCACACAAGTACTGTGATATGGGCTGAAGCAGAATTTACTTCTTCAGCACAACGTCCAGGTACTTTTCCATCACCATTTTGCAGTCCAGCAATACTTGCTTTTTGGTTCCACAATTTGTTCAACACCAGTGTTTGAAGCGGGCAGAAATTTAGGGAAAAGCAAACTGTAAGCACCGTGGTGATTCAGAGCTGTCGAACCAACATCTTAGAACATGCAAAGTCAGGAAGATTTTAAGCATCTATCTTTGCACACTTCCTATGTTTTATAATTAGTTTTTAAAAGAAATGGAATGTCTGTTTTCTCTTAATTCTTCTGATTAAGATCCCCAATTAGTTAAAAATTTCTACTACAAGTCAGTTTAGAACAGATTAGACGTACATTGAAACTGAAGAATTATGGGCATTAGTTTTACTATATTACAATAGCATCAGAACTACAGCCTCATCACGCAGGTCAGGTGATTGCTAAAATTAACATACTGTATATGAATCAAACGATTATGTGTATTTTTATAAAGAGCAGCATATTGCATTACCTTTTCACTATAAGTTACCTTCCAAAGCTATGGGACATTGCCATGTTGTTGTGATTCCTTTCCCAGTGGACTGGCAGGGCTTCTAACTCATTTTCTCCCAATTCCCAGCAGTGCTGCAGTCGCTAGGTTCCAGCACTGCTCTGTCCAAGCAAGCTGTGTGCCCTGATCCATTTCTGTGAGCAGCTGCCCTGGGCTGGCACAAGTAGAGGGAAGGCGTGGGAGTATGTATGCACATCAGAGAAGGGTACCAGCATTATCACAAGACCAGGGTATTTGCGGAGGGCAGAATATGTTCTGCTGACGCTGTTCTGTTTTATTAAGCTGAAGGGAATATGGTATTTCAGCCCAGTGAATGGGTAGTACCTAGATACCATGGCTTTTTTCCTCCAGGTTTTACATTAAAGAAAACGTGAAATAACTGTACAACACAGCATTCTGTAGTGTCTGAACTCGTTTGCAGTTCCAGATTTTTGGGTTTTTCTGTTTTTTTTTTTTTTTGTTGTTGTTGTTTGTTTGTTTTGTTTTTTAAATTGTAACTGGTGCAGGGCCATAAGAATAGCAAAAAAAGAAGTAAAATACCCTGCTTATGTCAGTGTAAGCCATGACAACACTAGTAGTGGGGACTCCAGTGAGACTTTCTCTCCTTGGCCAGCAGCAGCAGACTTGGTTTGTTTGTTTGTTTTTTGGAGATGGGAGGAAAATCTGCAAGGCCAAGAAATACACTGTGTAATTAAAATTAACTTGCAAAACTTAGCTTACATGATGGATAAGCACAAATCCATCACCTGCCTGAAAAAAACACAGTATAAGGCTTTCACTCCATTTAAGCTGGGGACAAGATTCCCACTAGCTGCATTGTGAAATCTGATTGCACAGTTCTGTCCTTCAGTGTCGCTCCATAACTGCATGCAGGCTCCCTCACATTGTGACTTGTTTCAGTCGACTCATGTTTCATCACCTCTGTTACCTTCACAAAACTTGTTAACAGTATTAACTCTACCATCAGTACTATTAACTCTTTCAACATATTAACTCTACTATCTTGACTCAATAGTGTGAAATGGTAATAAAAGTATTTCAAATACTTTTTGATTAAACCCATTCCCACCTCTCTAAACATTGGTGCAGTGATCATTTTTCAATACAACAGTATTTCATGCAGATCTAATAAAAGTGACTAAAGCGTTTAACAAAAAAAGTTTATTACCAAAATACAATATTAAAGTCAATACGTGACAAACTCCTGTAAAGCAAAATAAATTATTCTAACATTGTACAGTATTTCAGAAGGTAGTTAAAGTAGTACTACAGACTTTGCTTCATAGTTCCAAACAGTCATCTATCAGGAACACAATCCTAGAGAGAGCTTAAGGCATGCAGCTTAATGTGCTGGATAATTTCATAAAACAGAAGTCATCCTATTTAATAAGATACAGCATCAGCATTAACTGCAGTCTTTACATGTCAGTTTTGTAATTTTTTTTTTATACTTTGGCTATAAAAGCAGTGCCATAGTGTTACGATACCTTTTCTTAAAAAAATACATGTACCCATGTCCATGAATATCAAATGCAAATGTAAATTTCTATTAAATATATCTTAACAAATGTTACTTTGAGCACCAACTGTACATTTTAAAAAATGATTAAATAAGTGCTTCTGAAAGAGGAAAATACAATAACTCTGACTGAATCCCATTTCTCCAGGTCAAGCATAAATCTGAAAGATGAAATACGCACCTATTTATCATTATAGCCTAGTATGAATGAAGTTTTCTCATTAGTAGAAGTACAGGCATTTAAAATCAAAGCTGTAAGTCACAGACCTCATTAAAACAAACAGGAAGAGGAAAGCTGACAGTGCTGTGACAAAAGATCCAAAAAATATTTTAAAAGCTTAAAGGAAGGGGAAGACTGCAGTGTTAGTGACTTGGAAATGTGCTTGAAAAACCCTCATATAACATGCAGCCAAGCCAACCATATGCTTTCTAAAGCAGATAACCTGAGAAATACTTTGCTTTCAGAAACTAAGCCTATAATTACTTCACATGCAGAACTTCTGATAAAGGCCATAGGAATTGTGAGAGGGTAACTAACAGCAAGCAACAGGAGAGTTAAAAATGCTTTTGTGTTTCCAGGAAAAAATAATCTGTTGGCAACTGGTAGATCGACAGCAGTTTTTAGAGGCAACTAGCTTGATACTATTGCGCAGTAACCCATGGTTTAGCAGAAAAAAAGCAACAAGATTGCAAAGAGCAATTGTAAATAGATATGTTTTGGTTCCTACTCCCATTACAAGAAGTCTTGGTGATTATACCTACTGCTGCAAGTGTGGCCTGAACATAGACCTAAACTGTTAACTTCGAAGTTACTTGCTTCTCTTCTTAGTCTGTGAATACAAGTTTTTCACCTTTTCTCTCTCACTAGCAGAGCAACCTTATATAACCATCCCTTTATGCAAAAATAAGAATGTGGCAAACTATGGTTTCTGCGCACACTGACTGGTAGACTTTAACTATCTCTAATTCATTCTGACATGATGTGAATAAATCGTGTTTTTCAATGTAAAATCCTCTTGTAGAAATCTGAAATATAACTTTTAACATAAAATAGTACTTGCTTCACATTTGTATTTAAAGTATCTCAAATGCCTTATAAAATGCTTTGATGTTATATCATGACCAATTTTAAAGTAAAATATATACTTTCCGGTAATTTATAAACAAAGTAATATATATTTAATCCAAAGAACAAGCTAAGGAAATCACAAACAAAACCCACAAAATGTAGCTGGAATCTTCGTGCCTTTTGCTCTAGCATTTAGATTTCATGCTGTATTGTAAAGTTGCAACCAAACTTGTTTTTTTCTTCTCCTCTTTGCCACTTTCAGTCAGCAGTGCAGAGCAGACTGTATGCTATGTACATACATATGTACAAACGGCACCTTCTTGGATTTACTGTTGTAGCTTATTTTCTGCTAGCAGAAATGCATAAATGGGAAATAAAAAGCTATTTTTCTAAGAGCAGGTCATTTTTAAGTAACAAGCTAATAAAAAAATCAGGCAACTGCATTCCCATGTCAGGAACTAGGCATGCTTCTGTGCTACTGCCATTCTTTAAAAGCAGAAATAAATAGCCACACAAAAGTTTAAATCATGTTATGAAAGGGCTTATTCAGAAGTGCTACTATTTCATTCAGTTGAAATGCATATCCCAAACAATTTAGATAGCCAACTTTATACATAACCTCAAAAAGTTGCCTGGCAATTAGCCTGATCCCAACTGACATATAGATTAACATCTTCTACTGCAGACTGCTGTTAGCAGGGGAAAAAAAGGGAGAGACTTCCATGTGTTCCTTAGAAAACAAAGTAATCCTGAATTCTCTTTATAAATTCATATTTATGAACTAGCAAAATTTCTTCTACAGCTGACTGTTTTTTATTATTTTGCTTAAAATAGTTTGCCATGTTTTATTTTTTGAAATATAACTTTCTGTAGGAAGATTATCTTTCTATGAACTATTTCTATAGTGACAACTCCACCACACAAATGGGCAATTTAGGCAGCCAGGGGGATTTTGAAAGAACTCCAAAGCATGTAGGCATCACTCAAAATCCCAGCTCATGCTCATCTACATCCTTGGGATCTACATAGGTTTAAAAATCTCTTCATAGCGATTATTGTTAACACCTTGATCTCATTAGAAAACAGTGCTCATGTACTGCAAAGTAATCACTGCAAGTTACAAGTGATATATGAGATGCTCAGTGTTGCTTTTTGTTTGTTTCTATGTTGTTGTTTTTTTTTAAATAGTTCTGCTGAATGTGTTAATAAAGCCCTTAACATACAGCAGGTCATTATTATAAAGAATCTTTCACACACAATCAATTAAAAAGATATATTCTATTAGGATCCCACTGGAGAAACAGTTACTAGCAAAATGCTTCTAGGCTACTCAGCTCCTGGCGCTCTAAATCAACAGACAGGATACCACTCTTTTTTGAAACACAGCTTGGAGTTTGTAAAGCCTTAAAAATAGATTGGGAAGATGAAATGCCTAGGCGTATGTGCAAGCACACACATGTCCTCACCCACCTCCCCTCTCTACCTTCCGGAATCCAGGCTGAGTTAGATGAGATCATATTGTGAATTTGTATCTGGTGTGATGCCAGTTTCAAAAAAGAGAGTAAAAAAAGTTATTTGCCTAAATATTTGGAAAACTCCAAAGCTTTTCAGATGATATAAAGCTTTCATACCTTTGGGTTTTAACACGCTGTACTAATGCATTATTACTGACTAGTACCTGTCAACGAAAGGAAAAAAAGCAACAATCCTGCATTCTTGGCACCATGTAGAGAAATAACAGGTTAACGTGGATTATTCTCTTCCCTGCTCTCAGTATTTATCTCTAAAGTGATTCATCAATCCCTGGTTAAAATTTTATATTCTTAGTGAAACAAGGACTTAAGATGGGAAATCATCAAGTTTTGCAATTCTTCTCTTTAGTTTCTCAGGCAAAATTAGCAAAGAAAGTAAATATTCACTCTAGGAAACCCTATCCTCCACTTACTGCTTTACCTAGATTGTGTTCTGATTTGTGCTGTGGTCCTTATTTAGGATAATATTTATTATTTCACCCTCATGTTCTTTCATGTGACCCAGCAGATTTTCTTTGTTGGTAGACTCAAAACCACAAATGCAGCAGCAGAAGAGAAGAACACAGTATTCTGTGCCAAGATGGGGTAGAGTGGAGTTCTTTTCTAAACTGCATGATGTATTCATCAAATTAGGCTTTTCATTTTCATCAGAACCTGAAATTTCATTATTAGTCTGGTTAATAGACTCTGTAAAAGACACCAGGCTGTCTGAACTTCCTAGAATAGATACTGTACTTTCTTCTGTGCCTTCTAATAAGGTTTTGTCAGGAAGCTGTCCTTGAAACCTGAAAAAATAATAGAAACCAAAACAACTATCAAAATGTACAGCAGTTGCTTTTTGATGGGAATTTTACTTTGGATCAGAATTGGATCATTTGAGAGGTCTGGATAATAGATTTGAAAGCAGACTTGACATACCTGCTGCTTTGTGAAATTGCATCATTAATAGCCTTGTTGACTTGTTCGTAGTTATAATTTTGGTCACTTGCATGTTTCCACATGTGGGACTTCAGGGAAGGAGGATGGCTACACACATATCCACAGAGAGAACACCTAAGGAAAAGAAGGAGAAAAGATGCATTTAAAAGTTAAGCTTTACTATAATAGTAATTCATTTTTTTTTCTCCCAAAAGGGTGAGGAAGCAGCAAGATACACATCAATTCTCATAACTAGGAGAAATAAGTTTGCAAAATTACATTTTACAATGTAATTTATAGAGTCTGAGAATTTAAGACGGGCTTTTTAGACTTCTTAAACAATTTAACTGAAATCTTAGCTATTTGGCCTGTTGAATCTATTTGAATACTACAAAAATGAAATAGTTCCAATGATTGCAGAAACATGGAGTATGTCTGTATGGCAGCTGGCAGGCAGATAGTAAGCTTTCTCTGCCATTGTTTTGAACCAAGCAGAAACTGTGATAATTAGCATTGCTAATTTAAACAGAATTGATGAAACCTTTCTTGGTGCAGCATGTATTAGTTTATTTGAGGATCACAGAATTGCAGAAGTTGGAAGGCACCCCTTGAGAATATCCAGCTCCATCCAGCTGTTCAAGCAGGATAAGCTAGAGCAGGTTCCCAGGGCAGCATCCAGTCAGGTTCTGGAATCTATTTGCAGGCTGAAACTCGTACACATGACATTTTGTCCATAAAGTGGTCCATCAGGTCAGGGTACCACAAATTTTCTATCTCCCTATAAAACAACGTCCTATAAGGTATGCTGTCTTGTTCTTCAACTCAGTTTGACTTTTATACATAAAATTTAGAAAAAATAACATCCTAAAAAATCCTAGTTATTAAACTGTATTTATCTTTTGAGGAACACCAGTTTGAGAAATACTTTTCAAATTCTAGCTGTATTTTTTTGGTCCTCTTAAATTTAATTTACACTTTTAGGATGCAAGGACTTTATGTATACAATTCCAATTACTTAGTATAGGAGCAAGATTTCAACATACACTTCAGTAAATTAAACAGAACTACGAATGCTTAATGCAGGTAATAATTCTGTACGTCTTTATTTTTTCTAATAACCCAATCTCTCTTTCTAAAAGCAGCTGCAAATTCAGACTATTAATGGCAATCAGATAAATATATAACAGGATTCAGGACAGAACAAAAAATGTTTCCTCCTCCTGTGCAGAACAGCTGAAAAACCTTGAAAAGTAAATAATATTTGTGTAGCGATATGTATTGCATACTTACACAAAAAACCTAATAAATCCCACAGGACTTTTTCCATACATGAACATACAACAGAGGAAGCATTTTTTGCAAGTGTTTCTGAGATGATAAACTGGTTCTTTCGGTGTGAAGGAGAGGGACGGTACTAGAGGACATCACTGCATTGCTGCCTTTATGTAGGAAGAGAATTCTGTCCTGCTGCGGAACAACAGGCATGTCCTTCTAGCACAACTTGTCTCTATTACTTGATTTAGAACACACCGTTTTTACCTTTTCCTTCTAATTTGAAGCCTTGTTAATAAAACAGATGCTTTCAAAAACAGACAACTTCACCCTCAGATCTAAAATTTCAGTATTTCTGATAACCCTTTTTCAATACAACTCCACCATTAAAAGTAAGATAAAAGAAAGACCTCACTGTTCACTTATGGATAACATTAGGCCAAAATGAGATTTTGCAAAACACAAACTTAAAAAAATAACGTTGAATCAATTCTATATGCATATGTATTCTGCTGGTGTTTTATTACGTTATGTTATGTAATTTTTTCTGCACAACTTGTATAACTGGGCTTCATAGGTTGATACATGGTGAATGAAGCAACAGTTCAGTGTTTTTAACCCCTTTTAATTAGTCTTTTTTTAAAAGTGCATTAATTTAAATAGCTAATTTACTACCAGATTTACCTTGCTGAGAGCATGGGCTAAATGCTGTCGACTGCTTTAGCATACATCATCAAAGGCAGAAACTCAACAACTTTTAGTCTGATGCTCTACACTTCAGGATCATTATCTAGAATATGATGTATATTAAATGAAATGATATTATGGCTAACATAATAACCACTCGTATTACTTTTATTTAGGGCAGTGTGATTCAAATCTGGACTCTGGTTGTGCCTAGAGTAGGATATTAAACAAAGCCAGAAAACATTCATGGGCACTGGAATGTAACAATTTATAGTTGTTAGAAGTGGTTTTGGCACATGCATTCTCCCAGACAATTCTGAGCGTGCTTTCGTAGGTAACACAGTCAAGAAGCCTCCTGCAATAAGCAGTTTATGTGCAACTATGCCATTTTGGAAAGAAAGAGCAATGTCCTCCACCAAATCTCTTTCCTTCCTTCTTTCAAAAAAAAAAAAGTCACTGGAACAAGGAACGCAGGTAGGAGGGAAAAGAATATAATCTGAACTCTGCCTTGTATCTTAATTACAAAATCACTACTATTACAGTTTTGTGCTAAATCCAAACTGTTACATACTTGTACTGTTCCATTAGCTGCACTGCCTGATGCTCCTGGGGGTGACGCCTCATATGGCATTTCAAGCTATTCATATTTGTGGTGGCGAAGTCGCATACTCGACATCTAAAGAGACAACAACAATCTGACAATTAACTGCTAGCACTATTCCAGCAACAAAATCTATGAGAAAGCAAAGGTAACTGGAAAGACTGCAATTAAAGGCTAACAACATTTACAGAAGTCTAAGTGATGACATACAACTTTTAATTTTTGGACCATGAGAACCTCTTGCAATCCCCAATAGTCTCCAACTTAGAGCTAGAATCACTATGCGTACAGATCATGTTCTGTCCTCACGTCCACCTTGTGGGCCTTTTCTGAAGTTGACAAGCAGTATGATCTGTAATGGATGCTCTTGAAGCAAACATGATGTAGGTTGCTTGGCTATGTTATGCAAAAGCAGAATGTGACCATAAAAACTATAGGGAGACAGTGCACTCAGAAGTCAGGATTGTCCCTTAAGAACATGTGTTCTACTTTGTGCAATAACAGACACTTCTCACGACAGTATTAAAGCTAAACTCCTATGAAGTAATAAAACATCTAAGTTTCAGAGCGTTATAACTGAAGTAAAAGTCATGGACTAGATCAACGCATTTAGAAAAAAAGTGCCCTAAGACAAAGTGTGTCTCATCACACTCAGATTTTATTTTTTGACTGTTGTCATGGGATCTATTCACAAAAATAATACATAAAACAGTTCTGATCTGGATCAGGATCCCTGCATTTGGATCCCAGAGTCCTTCACAAAGTACTTAGCTATGCATAAATGTCAATACATTGCTACATAGGCTTCCTATATATAACATTAAAATAGGTCTAATGGAAGTCATCAGGATTAGCTAAAATTCTGCATATTTATCAGGATTTCAGTTGTTTCTATTTTCAAATGGTAAAACGTCCAGTCATTATTAAATTTGGTTTACAGGGTGAAAAAGATTGAGACTGCAGGACATTTAGCTTGAAATTACTCACTTTATTATCGAAAGGATTTAATTTTGCAGTATTAGAATCCAGGAGGTATCAAATCTCCAAAACACATCATTAGAGGCTATATAGACAGTTTAATTTCCAGCAATTTTTGTTAAATAAGTAATAAAGTATTTGTGTGGGCATAAAAATAGCTGCAATGTAGTTAGATTGCTATCTGGCATTATGAAAGGCTTAAGGAATACATGTTTTAAAATGAGAAATATCATGACTAGTGCATCTTTACAGTTTTTAGGCTGTGGCTTCAGTATCCCATCAGGTCTGCAAATGCATCTAAAGGGCTTGTGCAAAAATAATAAGAAAAGCAAGCTGTATCAGTAGGCTTAAATGTACTATACAGCAGTCTATATCACCAGTGGAAAAATTTCAGTGGTTCCTTGATCAAACAGGCTAGCTCAGTCTAACTCAGAAGTTAGTAAGACACTACAGATCTGTTGTTCCAACCCCACCAAGTAACCAATAATGCAATAAGGAAGATTCTGAGAAAAAGAAAAATCTGTTTGTATTCCAACTTGTTATCTGAGCAAATATCTTGCAATTTTTGGCCAGTGTTATTGGATATCATTATAACTCACAAATCAAAATAAAATGTCCTTTGTTTTATAATTTAGCCAAAAAAGAGAGGCCCTGTCTGAGCTCAGTGTTTTCAGGTGTTAAGATGAGTTTCCAGAATTTGTGCTAAAAAGCTAAGAATTGTATTAACTCACATCTATCTTCTAGCCACTAGAGAGGGACAGAGATCCACAGCAAATAAGCAGATTTAAATTGCAAGAATTTATGCAGTATATTTTTTCTGCTGAGGAACTGAACTATACAGTATTACAGCCAATTTTGGATATCAAGATTTCTACATATATCCATGTAACATCCTTTACAGAGAAGCTGTATCTGATCCTAAATGCACTGATACTGTTTGAAACCTGTAAAAAAGGTAAGGGGGCTGAGAACAGGACAACAGGCAGAACTCTTCCAAACTGAATAAGCCAATACATTATGAACACACCTTGACTCCTACCCCCTTCAAAAAGAAACGTGTATCTTGCTGTTTGCCTTAATGGCAATGGAGAACATTTTGCAAGAAGGCAAATCCAAAATAAAGTGTTAAAGGTGTTTGTTAAATATATATTATTACTAGTGGCCAAAGTTCAATATTATAAAGTATTTGCTTCCCTTTGCACATCTAGATGCTTCAAACTGAAAACAAGCTGTTCACATAATGTCCTGGAAATTACAGCAAATCTTAATTACCTTAGTTACCTAGTTTCAGTCAAACATAAGTGTGGCTCCTTCAAAGCTGCAGGAAAATTATTGCATCGACTTTCTTTAACAATATCTTTGAAATTCTATAAGCAGTACAGTTATCTATTTAGTTAAAATAAGCAGTCTACGAGCCTAGTATTGTTTAGCAATAACTGAGACTCTTACCTGTATGGCTTATCAGAGTTATGAATTCGTCTGTGATTTCGTACGCCAACGTAAGTTGTGCTGGTGTAGTCACATACATCACATCTATACAGTTTCTGAACTGAAGACTTACTTCCTACATAAAAAAAAAAAATATAAAATTTTAAAGATTTGCATCCAGCATTATACGAAGTTCTCAGATGATAATTTTAGCACAGCTGAAAATTATGAAACGTGAATTAACTTTAAAGGTAATACTTCACTGGAGCAAACTGGCAATGGATGTAGAGAAAATAAAGGTGTATTTTGTTGACCGTGCTGTTCAGCATTTGCCCTACCATCTACTGGAATTATTAAAGTTTAAGGAAGGCACATTCTTCCTCCGTATGAACACTTCTGTTCTTCCTCCACTGGGCTGAAAATCCTGGGTTACAGCAAAAGTTGAAAAAATGTGAGAGAATGACTCAAATGAAGAAAAAAAGATTGGTGATGATAAAGGATAGGTTTCTAACTGGCAAATACAGGCAAGACAAGAAAAAGGTCTCGTGAAGCACTCAGACTCTTTTTATCATCCACTTTTAGAAGGATCTGAGATGACTTAAAAAAAAAAAAAAAGATATTGACCAGATGTATTAAAAAATAATTTGGAACTTCTCCAAATTACTGAAAAGCAATTGCAATACAATTTTTTTCTTCCACAATGAAAGAGACTCTTGAAAAATTAATGGTTGCAGAGACAAAGGCTAATGACTAATTTAAGACAGGAAAATGTGTGCCCACAAGTGCACAGTTTGAATATTTCTGGGACATGACTTTGTAGACTTTACCAGTCCTATTCCTGCTCCCTCACTGAACAATGTAACTTATCTCAGCTGAAATATTAACATTTAGGAGGAAGGATGGTATTTTTATATGGGTCTTCTTCCCACTCCAGCCAATCGTGCAGCCTTCCCACACTCTTCAAATGAGAAAATAGCAGAAATACAAAGGAACAACAGATTGGAGCTGTTTAAATCAGCACTACTGTCAAAATAAGTATCAAATTAACATCTAAGGGCTTCCTTTCTGCATCTAACCTGTTCAGTAACCTAAGTTTTAGAGTTCTGCTTTTCCAGTTGCAGGTAAGTTGTTCAAGTTCAATTCATCTTTATACAAATTCCTATTAGCTGAGTGAACAGTTAAGCCATTAATGTAAGTTATGTACAGAAGCTTTGAAGGAATTGATACAGATTTCTGGAGAATTTCTCTGATGAGTACTTTAAAGTACATCCCAGGACCAAAATAAATATACGGTTCATTGTGTAATGCATGGGAGACAAAGTAAAGCTCATATCTTGGAAGAACTTCCATAACTCTTCATGCTCCTACGAAAAACAGCTCCAGCACAAACCATCACTTTGTATTGTGAAGAGTTACTAAAAAATTAGCATTTTTGGTTCAACATTTGAAATCATTATGTAGGGAATGTAGATTAGAGAGTTATTCTGAAGAATTCCATAGTATGTCATGTAAAATAAAACAGCAATCAGAATGCACAAATAGTTTGAAACAAAATTTAATAATCCTGCATGTACAAAGATAAATAAAAATACTTTTTACTTCAAATTCAACATGTCAAATTGCTCACTCACCTGGCATTTAAAAAAGACAAAACAATATGGAAATAATACTTAGCGTGCACTCTTCGCAATTCAACATTAATGTTCTTAAAGCAAAATATAGATATATTTTTTCTACTGCACTCTCATACAGCTTTAAAAAAATCACTGCTGTTTAAAAAATATTTAATGCAAATTATCAAAACATTCTTAATTTTACCCCTGGAGACTGCAGTTACTCTTTCATTTATGCAGAGCTCTGATGAACACAAAGACACTGGACTGCAGATCTACTGTAGAGCAGGAGTTTTATGAAGGTTGGGCTACTGCATGCTCCACTTGAATGGATTTTCCATCTTTAATGCTGAATCTTTAGAAAAACAGCTTCTAAATGTACTTTCTGTTATGAATTTTATATTTTATTGGTTAGTAAGCTTAAAGCAAATAGTATCTAATGAGATTTTTAAAGTGTTATGCAAACATATTATCTAGTGCATAGTTATAAGAGGCTAACCACGCAGTAGCACGTACTTAGGAGCAATTATTTACATCAATCAGTACTTTAGTTTTATCCCTCCAACAAAATGCCCATAAATTATAATACACCACACAATCTCTAGCTGAAATGAAGCAGCAGTGCTGTCCCCTGCCTCCTCTGATGCCTTATTTCTTGAGGTTGTAGGGGCTTTCTTGCTTTCTGGGTTGAGGAATTCAGGTCTCTTGAAAGTGAGCATGGAAACCACAGGTCTTTATTGTTGCTACAGTAACAGGTGTTCCTGTAATTCTGCTTATTACCCTATTCCTTCATTATTAGACATTTACAATCCAATCATATCCAGTGTCACCATGCTCCCTTTTAATTTATTGTACAACCATGATGAATAAAGAGATTTTTAGGACTAGCTATTTCATAAACAAGAAATGAAACTGTTCCAGCTCAGGCATCTTTCACATAAACAGCTGCTATGCTATAAACTTCTTTGTTTTGTGTTGCTTTATAGGGATGACATCTGTTTGACAAGAGACTGCTGTACTGCAATGGTGTTGCAATTTGATTATAAATCGGTTCTGAAATAATTTAGGCATTCCAAAGTATGAGTTAATACAACTTTAAAAGCAGAACTGTTTTCATTCAAATCACATTACTAAATTTCAAGTGGGGTAAACAATCAATTAAAGTGCTTGGATGTAGCACTTTTATAAGACAATAATGAGCAAAAATAAGTATTTTAAAAATCTCTAACGCAATTAAAAGCAGGACGTTTTCATGAACAGAGGCTTCTCTTTCATGGAAGTTAAGTTACAAAGTCAGGATATAAAATCTAACAACAACACCTTTATAAAATGTAGTATCTTCAAAAGCAGCTAGCCATCTTCATTTTCTAACTTGTACACTGAAAGCCAGAAAAAAGACGCAGCGTGAGCTAACAGAATGCAAGTCAACAGTTACGCATCTCACTTTATTCTGATGCGTACCATATTGTTTTGGACAATTGTTAGTTGTTCAAGCCATCCAACTTGACTCATGCTGGTTAGTTCCTTTTTTTTCAAGTGTTTGTGCTAATGTCAGCAAGGTGAGAATAGAATCCAGAGTTTCCGACTGCAATCTATGTACTATTGCAGTACGCATTTTGTTCTCTGAATAGAGACCATAGGTGGGACAGACAAGAGCTATGTACACAAAATGTGAAATATTTTGGCTCACAGTTGTTGAGAGGTGATATAATTACTGGTGTTTTCCCACAGTGCTCTAAAATTGCCAAGCACTAAAAATTACAGTGTTGCCTAAAGAAGTGTTGTAAATATTTTCAGGAATTCAACTCACCAGAGGAGAGAATGCACTGAAAATATAATATTAAATATTGGTCGTCCTAGATACTCAAATGATTTTAAGATCTCAGGATACTCAATGATTTTAAAACATCTTCCCTAGACTTCAAATATTGGGTGTTTTTCCCCCTCTCTCACTATCTTTACACATCAAGTGTGTTTGGATTTTCTTCAGAAAAAAAACATGATTAAATTACATAGTTATTCAAACATCCAGAAAATGCCCTATTGTTACCCTGGTAACGACTACAGATAATTTTTCAAATGTCTTACATCTGCTTCTCTAGAACTAAAATAAACTTTGGACATTTCATAATTTAAAGAGAAATTTCTAATCACAGCGTGAACAGCGTTGTATATATATGCTGATATCAAACTATGTTATCACACAGTGAGTTTAAAAAAAGGCTGCTCTGTTTACTTCAGGCTATTTGACAAATACTGTAGCTGTTCAAGAAAGAAATTTTTTTTTTTTTCTTAAAATAGAGTAACATTCCATACCAGTTATCTGTTAAGTATTTTAATTGTTTTTGCAAAAAGAAGAAATATGGGATCTGATCACACATGCAAAAAATCCACCTATAAACAAATGTCTGTAGGAGATCTCAAAATGGAAAATTTATGGTAAGTTTGCACATCTAGATGCATTTAGGTTAGGAATAGACATGAAAACATTTTGTCCCAAAAGGGATCTTAAAAACAGTAAGCCTACAAGAACAGCAAACAATTTTCCAGACAACTTTTTATAATTTCAAGTGACAATATAAGCAGTACCTTCTCTTTCATCTACTTCACTGGAAACTATTAGTTTGTTAGACGTGGATGTTGAATAGATATCTGGAAGACCATGTTGCTCTCTCTCATGACTTCGCAGTTGGCTCTGAAAACACAATTTCCCATGTTTAAATATACACTACAAACATTCACTGGTTACTTCAGACACCGCAGTGATTTGCACATTGTTACTCAAGATTTAATGACAACTGTTATAATAATATGTACGTTAATATATACGCAGATTGTCCCTCAGTTAGTTTTACTAGAAATAAGACCAACACACATCAGTCAATAACATAAAGAATTGGTGACAGTAACTGAGATGACTATGTGATTCGTGTTACTTTTTTATAAAATCTGTTCCCTAGAAAAATATCAATATTCATTTCATACGCAGATATACCACAACGTGTTGACCTTTTTTCTTTCAAGCTTTTTCTTTTCCCTTCTGTCCTTCTTCCTCCATTCTCATATAGAAGGGTCAAACAGTTATTCCTCCAGAATTATTATACTCCAAAAGCAATATGAGATTAGAGGCTAGAGGATGGCTTTTATGAAAATAGGCTCAATTTTCTTATTGCCTATTGACTTAAGAATGTGTTACTGTTTCTACTTGCCTGGGGAGAAGGAGGAGCAGCCTTTTTCTACCATATCTCTACTTTTTTTTTTTTTTTCAAATTAGGACTAGACAACAGGAAATAGGGGAAAATTTGCACTATCATTGCCTACAATAGTTTCAGTTTTAAGATTATATTCTGTTGCCATTGATTCTATGTTCCTAATTACTGAACTGACTGTATAGGAACACACACACCAGCACTAATGCTTAACACTGACATAATACAGTACTTTGTTCTGGCATGTTGTATTTCAGATCTCAGTTCTACAGAACATCAAGCCCCAAACAACAACATAGGAAGAAAGAAAATAATTTGTTTCACAGTTTCTCTCATTATCACCAGTTACTGTTACTTTTGCTCACACTTCCAACTTGTCTGAATGTTTGAGCACTCTCTCAAAGTTTCAGCTATTAAGTTCTCTGAAGCTTCCACTTCTTTAGCTGGTACACGTTAGCAGAACAACAGAATATTAAGATGTCCATTAGACAGTTCTCATGAAAATAACTTACATGAAGATAGTTTATTTCAGTGGGTAAGGCAAAGTAATTATAGCTGAATGGTGTATCTGGAAAGTACTGCTGGCAATAATCTCCAATTGTAATGAAAATGAAGCCAGGATGTCAGAATGAATGTAGATATAAAGCAGGATCAACAGTTATAAAAAAGCAGGAAAACAGGTTATTTAGCTATTATAGACAAACTCAGGAAATAACTTTACCTTATAATGAAAAGATTCTTCACATTGCTTGCACTGATACATTCTTGTTTTGCAGTGGTTGATCATGTGGCTCTCTAAATCCTTACTATTGTCAGCAATGTGTTCACAGATAGGACACTGATAGGGCTGCCTCTGACGATGGACTCTCAAATGTTGCTTTATGTAGCCCTTATTACCACTGCTGTAGTGGCAGAGGCGACAGCGGTAGGGTCGGTCTACATTAGGTATATATTCTACTAGGTTACTTCCTGGAATATTTGCATCGTTTGCATTTTGGCATTGTGCGTTGTCTTGTAATTCTTTCAAAATGTCATCATCAGAAGCATTTTGATCTGTCCTCTCCTTCAGTTTTTCAATGACAGTGAGTAGAGACATACTGATGCCCATTTTAATTGGTGCTTCTGATAACTCTGGCCTTTCTTTCTGTATCTCAACTATTGCACATTCACTTTGGTTTAAGCCAGAAAACTCCTCTGATGGATTCTTAAGTGAGGATACCACTCTAGAACGAGCCACGCCTGGACCATCAGCCTCTCCCTGCCCTGTATCTGCATCCACAGAGTCTTCCCCAGTCAAAGTCCTCAAGCTAGACTTTGTTAGCTCTGCAGCTCTGATAGGCATCGTAACAAGAGCTTCTGCAGCTAGTGAGTGTAGTCGTAAGGACTCTGAATTTGTCCTTCTTCGTACAGGAGGTGCATTTTCATCAGTTGTTACATTTTTTATAGAGCTTAATTCATTGTCTTTTTTTTCAGTATTATTCCATCCTATTATTACTTCTTGGATTTCACCTGAATGATAAACTCCATTGGGCTCTTCAGAGGTAACATGGGATTCCTCCGAGATTAATTTTTTTTCTGTTTCAATGTCAGTGTTCATCAAGTAAGACTTTTGTAAGACACTTTCTTCAGCACCTGGCAAACGCTCGACTATTACATTCACGTGACCCTCTTTATTTGGGCTACAATTAATGATTTTCTGTGCTGATGAAAGTAGGCTATCAGTTATCAAATTATCCTGTTCTGTATCTGAAACAGTCTCCTCTGTGGTAGGAGAATGCACTACAGACTGATTTATCATCTCATCCTCTTTTACATTTGTTCCTACTGGTGATTTGCACGACAGTCGCTCAGAATTGCAAATCTGAAGCTGAAGAGTAGGTTCACTATGGATATCTAGTTCATTGTTTTCCAAAGAAAGAACAACTGTATCCATGCTATGAGGTGTATGAGTTACAGCTGTCTCTGACAAGTTGGCAGTTTCATTTTCTTCCTCAAAGATAGGATAGGAACAATTAACTTCACCTGCATGTTTCCAAGCGTGTGTTTTCAACATTCGTTGCTGACCACAGGTGTACCGACAAATCAAACATCGGTACATGCCGTACTGCTCATAAGTATACCATTTCCTCCTCCCCATTTCAGATATGTGACTAGACTGAGTGGTATCTTTACATTCTGTATTTCCAGCCCCTGATTTGGCATTTCCTTCCACTGTCCCTTGCAAAAACGAACTTGACGCATTTACACACTGCTGCACGTTTGTCTGGATGCTATTTTTACCTTCATTCTCATGGTGATTTTGGAAGTGAGATTCAAGTTCTTCTTGGTTTTTAGAAGTAAAATGGCATTCTGAGCACATCAGTATCACTTCGTTTTTCTGCCCATGTTGTTTTATATGTTCTTGCAGCGTTAAGAGAGAAGGTGATAGAAATTTACATAGACTGCACTGGTAGCACGTCACCTTCTTTTTGCTTTGTGGAAGACATTCAGTTACAAAATAGTCAGCTTTTAAGTCTTCAGTCTTTTTAGTAGCAATAACAGATAGCTCAATTGCTTTAGCTGGGATTTCACAAAGATCTGTATCAAAGGACTGTGCAGAAGCGTCAGAATGGGAACGTTTTTTCCCTATTAAAAGGCATCTTTGTGATTTCTCACTTTCGACTATTTTGCTTAGCTTCTGGATAACATGGATTAATGGATCAGTTTTACATTTTCTCTGATCTTCACTGTTTTGCAATGTTGGGCCAATGACTGTTTCAGAAATCAGTACAGCCTCCTGTTCTCCAATATTTGGCATCAATACTGCAACACTACTTCCTTCTTCCATAATACCTGGGAGAAAAATATTAAATATTAAAAATTATTCACAATAATAAAAATACAATCCAGTACTATTTAAATTTCTTTACTAAATGTATTAGATAGAACCCACTGACTTTATAAAAACTTCTAGAAAAGTGATAAAAATAGCCAAATATTTTGAGAACATTAAGTAGATAATATAGATGTTATTCAAAACAGTTGCACAGAGTATTTCCAAAACAGCCTCTGTGTTTCTTCAAGTTGTATAACAGCAAGACAAATATTTTTCCAGCATAAACTCATTATCATTGTTAGAGTTATTGTATTTTTCTTACACTGGATACTAAAATAGACTAATCAACAGGAAGTGGTAGATTTGTATTTTTAAGCTATATGATATGATATGGAAATGTATTCCTAACATTCTCATCTGATACACTTATGTCTCCTGAATAGGTAAATGAGTAATTCTGGTATTTCTATTATGGTTAATTCTGGTATTACATTAGTCATTTCACCCTGACTATATTAAAGGCCATTCAACTTCAAATTATACTTACTATAAATGTTATTTTCTAGAAAAGCAATTGTGGCTTTTCCTACAATTCCTTAATTGTAGGGAAAATCAGTTTGTACTAAAGTTAGGATTTTATTTTTCTGTTTTGAGGGAAAGCTAAAGGCAGTAGCTATTTCCACTTACATTTCCTTCAAACATATCTAACTATGAACTACAGGCAGTTAATGTGGTAGTGATGGAGGTTAAGTTAGAAGCCAACATGTAAAAATTTACATGAAAAGATACTTTGTGATGTGGTCAAAACTGCAGGGTAGGGATGGCTCTGCTGGACAGAAAGTCTTCCAGTGGAGTTTACTTCTGAAGAAATGTCTGAAAATAATTGATACAACTTTTGCTATACATATAAATATTTAATACACAATTTATACTTTATATACTATGTATAAAATATAAGAGCATAAAGAATGCCAGTTGTTTCTTTTACCAGCTATCCTTGGAACTTTATCCCCCATTCTTTCATGATGATTTTTTTTTCTATTTTTACGAGAAAGACACACAGGCCAAATTAGAACTTCTACAACTGGCCTAAAGACCTATTAAATCCTCTCTTTTCTACTTCTTGATCTAGTATTTAGTTGGAATTTAAAATTGATAAGTGATTTCTAGAGAACATTGTTTACTCTGGCAAATAAATGGGACTAAAAGCCTTCCTTTGCCCATATGCAGCATAAAGAGTCTGCCCCAGAGACGTGCCAGAGGCAGCTGCAGCAGGGATCTGTTACCAAAGGCAGCACTGTGTGTGTCAGAAAGCTGTTTTTACTAATGTAAATAATGCATTTGTATTTTCACATTACAGGAGATGCAACAATGTTGTGGAAACTTTCGTTATAATGCTGGAAGAGTTATGAGATTGCTCGGTGCAAACAGAAGATTTGCAGACTTATTTGCGGAGGCAACACTGTGGGTATGAATGAAACATCTTTCTGTTACTGTATAAGAAAAAGAATTCACATTCAAAGGAACTTAAATAAAAACTGCAATAAATTCCTTTATTGTACAGGAAAGCAGCACAAGTGTTTTGATTTTAAAATAAATCTAACCTTACTATTCAACACAAGAACATACAATTTCTGTTTTAATCTAATACAACAAAAAAAGGATTTTCTTGTATTCAAGTCGAGTTACCTTGAGACATGCCTTTCTCATTATGATCAGATTTTTATTTAAAAAACAGTATTAGAGAAGATATGGACTATGGTTATGTGATACTTTTGTTCCTCATCTTTTGGACAGTGAGCATAATATACTGCTTCCCCTAATACAGGGGAAACAAACACAGAACTTCTGAATCCATCAAGAAATGAACTATATGAAACAACCTGTAATTATTCCCACAATAGGAGTTAAATACTTCTACTAATAAAAAGCAGGTTGCTACCGTATTTCTGTACTTAAATAGAATCTGCATTTACGAATTTATTTAAAGTGAAGATAAATCTTCCAAGAAACTAATCCAGAATAACTCAAATTTATTATTCATGGGGCTTTGGAAGAGCTGTTGGGTGCTGACTTTACGCACAGATAATATGTGCAGGATCAACACCTATGGATGCTTTCTACTGAAATTTAATAAGATAAGTAAAATTACTAAATAACATTAGTAATGAAATTACTAAAATTGTACCAACAAACTGTAAATAAGCAGAGTGCTGCTTATGTTTCCAGTCTTATAAATTTGTCAGCCTTAAGGCCACTATCATTTTTTTGAAAAGCATCCATGATATTGGTCTACAAAAAAATTCTGTGCAGAACTAACTGAGAAGTTATTTTTATTTGCCACTCAGCTTACTGTTTGGACTCGAGTTCTTTATGATTGAAAAGTTCAATAACTGTTGGGAAACTCAGACTCACCCTGCAGACTCACACTGTTCGTATTTGGAACATTCCCTCGAAGTAATAATTCTGAACAAGCAAATATTGGCCCTACTTGTTTCACCTGAAAACAGAATAGAAATTAAGAGGCAAGACTGCTGAAAGACCGCAGAAGTTACATGTTGCCACACAATACTGCTAAAACCAGAAAACAGCGAATGCTTCCAGCTGTTTGAACTTTGGATGTTTGTATATTATCAGCTTGTATATTATCAGCTGTGTATGGCATATATGGATACTGATGAAGTTAACTAGTTCTTCGTTTAGGGTATGCATATTGCACTCTGCTGCTATGTTACACAGAGGGACAGCAGGAGAGCACAGGGATGGCTGATCCCAGCACGCATCAGCCCACCTGTGGGCCCGGCCGCCTCTCGCCGAGACTGCACCCGCGGGGCAGGGAAACTGCTGCCAGTGGAGCTGCGCTGGGCCGGCCTCCCTGGGGCAGCGCGGGGGCTGCGGCTCAAGGCCGGCCGGCCGGCCGGCTGCAGATTTCCCCCATCCCTTTGCAGGATGCCCCTTCCCGCCCCACGCCGCCCTCTGCCCCGTGGCTGCCCACGGCGCCACCGCCAATCCCCGGCGCGCTCCCCGCTTTATAGCGCAGGTGCCGACGGCGCGGCCCTAAGGCGGCGGGCGAGAGGCGGCCGGACTGTACCGAGCCGGCAGGGGAGGCTTGTCGGGAGCTGCCGCCTCCCGCGCTCCGCACATGGGCTCCACTCCTGAGCACCGCCCCGGGGCCTGCCTGGCGCGACCGCTTTTCGCGCCCTACCTGCCCCCCCGCCGGCCTCCGCCGGGCCGCTCCCCGCTCGCGGCTGCGGCACCGAGGGGCGGCTTGGGGTTAATTTTTATTTGAAACAGAGAAAAAAAAAATTCCTCACCCCCTTGGACACCGCTTCAAGATGGCGACGATGGAGACCGTATCACGTGACCGGCGGGCGCGGATCAGGTGATCGGGGGTTTGGGGGGGGCGGGCGGGGGGTACTGCTGCCGTGCCGCCGCCTCTCTGCCGTTGCCATGGGGATGGGCCTCGCCGGGTGGCGCCGGGCCCCGGAGTCCAGGGCTGGTGTCCGCCATCGGCGCGATGGCAATATCTCGTTATTTACGGCAGTACAGCGTGGCTGATCGCCGCAGAAGCCACTACGTAAAAGTCTACAGATTTTTTTTTGTGTCTAAAATGATAAATAAATGCAAGTGATATCACACATAACCTAATGGAATGGAGGAGGGGGTGTTTCAATTTAAGTCAGCAGGAATATGAGTTAAAAACATACACTGCATGTCAGGGTCAGCCTGGCAAGCTGTGCACCAGAGATGTTACACGCTGTGATTCTGAAGTGTTTCATATGAAGAATGAGTTTCAGCAGTGGCTCAGGGCTAAGTGATGACAAGTGAAATCTAACATTTGTTTCCAGAAAGGGACTTGATGTGTGTTGATGTGGACGCAGTTCAGCTTTGGTGGGATCTTGTGAAATTAGAGGAATTTCTTTGCAAGTTTACTTCCTTCCACAGACTGGAGTTTTGTTAATGATGGCTGTTTTGTAGGGGTAGGAGATGTATTTGTAGTATTGGGAAATTGGGTCTTGTTCAAGAGTTTGCCCTGATTTCAGTGAGTATTAATTCCCTATTTTGTTACTATGTTTTGATTCTTATGACAACTATCAAAGCTCTGTTTAATTGCATTAAGCTTTAGAACACCTTTGGCCTATCCCGTAGTCTCTGACTTTAACCCAGTCCCAATCCGGTAGTACGGATCTCCTCACAGAGACGCAAAGGAATCTAGTCTCCTTCTGCCCAACCAGTGATATGCTGAAATAATGGCTCTTTGGACATCTTTTGCTTATGTAGTCTTTTTTTTTTTTTTTTTTTCTCCAATAAATGCAGTGAATGATTTGGAGTTTAAACACCTGCTTAAAAGCTTACAGCACAAAGACAGTTGGGCTAAGGGAACCACATAGAAATTGGTGTTGAGTGCAGGCCCAGCTGGGCTCTAGGCTGTGGAGTCCTAAATGTGGAATCTAAAGATAATTAATTTTAGGGGAGGGGGGAAAAACAACAACGACAAAAAGAAACAGCTTATGAGGGAAGGATTAGAGCTGGTACTGACTTTTCAGTAGAGGAGCCCTTATGAGGAGTTCAGAAGATGGATTTGTCTGCTCATTTTTGAGTATGTGAAATAGTCCAGCTGATAAAAAAGAGTGGACCATGGCTGGTAGAACAGAAGAAGATTAATTCTAACTTGCCTGCTACTTAACTACTTTGTGCTTAGGGTTAGGGCTTTTGTTTCACTATTTTGTAATAGCTTAAATATTTTGATAATATCTCCTTCTAAAGAAATTGCTGTGGGGGAAATGCAGGAGTACAAATTCAGTCTTATTAACAGCTATCAACTTCTATTTATCTTTAACAAGTTGAAGCTGCATAGTTTTCACAGTGTAAAATATAAAAGTAAGAGTAATAATAATAGCAGCTCGTTGTGGTATGTTTCTGCTGTATTAATCGAAGCCCTTTGTAGAAATGTGATTGTCATTTGTGGACACTTTCTTTAAAGACTTAGTTCTCATATACATGGTCATTTCTAGTAGTTTAATTAAGCAGTTATCTGGACTGAATCACTCTTGTAGATATATAACCCTCACCCTCCTTTATCCAATTGAACCATGCTAGGAAGTGATGCCTGGAAATAATAGAAAAATAGTGGGTTGATAGTGAGCAACAGTCTCCGTGTACTTAGTTACTGTTGTATTTAATTAAAACTAGACACAGTTAAAGATTTCATTCTCCTTGTAAATGTGACTGTACCACAAAAACAGATTTAAGTTTTGCACTTCTATACTAATTTGAAAAGCTTCTTAATTCACAAAGTACTTTTCACATTTCTCATTTTCATTGCTTTCAAGTTGAAGGAAGAATGAAACCAAATGAAATTTGGCTAAGGCAGATATCCCTGAGTAGTAGAGATGAGACAGTTGTATTGAACTTAATATATTCAGAATGTTGATATTTTTGTAAAAAGTTTATATAAAATTGCTTCGTAATTACTGTAAATATGTGCAGAATGTCAGTGGTATGAGTTTTATGGTAAGCATTATAGGCTTAATTTAAAAGACTAATGCATAGTCTAGAAACACAAAGCAAATTTAGAGTTACATCAGCAAAGATGTTAACTTGAAATAAATACATGCAAAATATACGTTTCCTTGTATAAACATTTTAAATAACATATAGTGACTTGCCTATAAGGTGTCTGTTTATTTTGTGGCCTCAGTCTCACACTCTTCAGACATCAAGATTAATTATTAGGCTTATTTTCATTAATGAGTTGTACAGCCATGAGTAATACAGTTGTCAATAGAAAATTCAATTTAGCCTTTCAGTTTTCTGCACTTTGGTGCCTGGCTATTCCAAAATCATTCCAGAAGCTTTATAATTCTCACATTATACACATATACGTGGGGTCTCTGAAACACCTGAGTGAAGATTAAATAAAGTTCTTTGTGGCTTGATGAACAACGGAAGTGAATTTTGTATGGATTACTGGATCTTGCATGATTCCTGGATTACAGAGGCCTTGGCTTGTGGACCTCCTACTGGGACGTTAGGCAGTGCTGTCTGACCACTGTGAGTGGCAGGTGAAGAAATATGTTTTTCTTTTGTATTTGAAGACAGCCTCTGTATTTGTATATGAAGACAGCCTTTATATATCATGAGGTAGATCCACAATAAAAAAAGTGAAATTTGCAGAACCGCAAAACACAGTGCATAAAGTACTTTTAAGAAAGATAAAGTTTTAAGAGTTTCTTGGTTAGAAAGTGGCAGGAGAATTTACATATATTTACATAGATGTATTTGTAGTGGCTACTTTGATTTATCAGGCTGGCAGTTCGGGTGTCCTTCCTATGAAATCTACACCTTTTCAAACTTGCTGTGTAACGTATAATAATATGGAGAATAAGAGAAGAATAGTAAGAAAACTATATAGGAAAAAAATGATACCGTGTTACTGGCTTATGAAATAGGACTATATTGTGCTCTGACACATTACTGCAGATAGGAGTTCAGAATTATTAGAAGCACCAAAAATTGTATGGGGAAGAATGAAGACTGCATTGCATCATTTAGGCAATGACTAGAACCTGATAGACACAGGAAGATAATAAGTGGCATAAAGAAAATAAATTGCACTTTAAATTTGCTTCTCATACCAGTGTAGTAATTAGATAATCAGTGAAGTTGAATGGTTGCAATGGGGAAAGGAATTTTTAGATTTCTTATATATATGTAATTAAGATCTGGAACTCATTGCTTTAAGATATTGTAGGAAAGAAAAGCTTTGTCAGATTTTGAAATCTAGTTCAACTTCATATATAGTGATTGATATATATATATATATATATATATATATATATATATATGCTGAGAACATGTAGAGGTATTTTGGATACAGTTGGAGATGTCTTAGTGACATTAAATGTCAGTATTTTCAGTATTGAGGTAAACATTGATAGGAGTTATGAAGAGCCTTTCCCCATGGAAGGGGTATTATAGAATTTCATGCTATGACTTTTAGATTGCAATGGTCTCTTAGGTTATCTGCTTACCAGATATCAGAACCAGAATCTCATTGATCCTTCTGTATTGTTTGCTGTATTTTTCTTTATAGCCTCAGAGGTTTTTGTGCTTTTGCACTGCGGCATTAAAACTGAGCAGCACTTATATGAGCTAGATAGTTTATTTAGCTTTAAGCAACCTTTTCTTAATACAGAAGTCTCCTAATTCTGTAGGAATGATATTTCAGCTGCAACAATGACATCTAGGGGCTGATTTATATTAATTTAATTTATATGTGTATCTTCTTTTTCGGAATTATTACTAACATGTTTATTAAATCTAAATTATTAGTACTTGCTAAAAAATTGTAAATCTAATACATTTTGTATATTCAGAGAGTAGCCATGATATTTTAAGCTTTTTTTTTTTTTTAAAGTTTCTCCTTGTGTTTTAATTATTTTAGTACTTCTAACACTAAAATCAGTGTATCTCATTCTTTTGCAACTTGTACTGTTTTCATGATATGTTATTGGATGATGAGATTATTTTTTTTCCCTGTATTTAAGTATACTTTTTTGTGAATTAAATGGAAATCTCTTTGACTTGGCTTTCTCATATGACATATTTTATCTCCTAAAATTACACTTACTTTACTTTGTACAGGAAATGAGACTAAAAAGCCTTGTATTCAGTACCCTGCTTCTTCCATGTTTATGGTTATATAGACAGAGGTTTGACTCCAGAGTTAAATCCCATGATTCAGGGCCACCTCTAAGCTATATGTGAATCCTATTTTATGCATACAAGTAAATGTGTGTGTAAAACATGCAATTGCAATTTAGTGGTGATTTAGCAGAATCTGTCCTATTATTTGCAAACCTACCTTCTTTCCTTTGAATCTTAGTTATTTGTCCATAAGTCACTTATTTGGAATTGCTTTTTATATAAAAATATGTCTATACGTCTTTCTCATTGTCTTCTTCACTCATATTTACAGTTTTTCTAAGGAATAAAAGAATATGTATTTATAACTTCCAAAATTCCCCTGTTGCTGTTCTGTGGAGTACACTGTACAATATTTAACATGCTGACTTTTCATTGATATTAGGAAGAAGAGACCGAAGCAAGAAATCTTGCATGTAATGTGTGAAATAGAGAGAGAGGCTCATTTCCTGCCTTAGGTACTTCCATAAAATTTTGATGTCATGCCTGTGGCTTTAGGAGAGTGGTACTGACTTGAATGGAGAATTTTAAATCACTCAGTTTATTTTATATTTTGAGAAAACAAAAGCAAAATTAAACCCTAAATGTTAGGTACTCTAAAATGTAAAGACTACAGCTCTGCAATTTCCATACAATCTACCCATCAGCTGTTAGAAGAATCTC